AGTACACTCCACCCCTCTCTGTATCTGTCTATGAAATGTATGTATGTAGTATATGATACTAATAGGATGTATCACTCCAACAATGCTATTCAACAATGTTACATCTCATTAATTTATCGAAAAATGTTTGGTAGCTTAATTTATGTGGCTCAAATGATTCGAATGTCTCAAAACGACATCGTTTATAAAATGACGTCATTTTGAGATATTCAAGTCATTCGGGCCATGCAAATTCGAACTATCAAGCATTGTTGTAATTTATCATCCCTACATGATCTCTAATAATGTGACATTAAGATTAGACCCCATATAATAAAATATTTGACAAATCAAAATTTAACACTTGTCAAACACATAATTAGAGGTGATTTTTAAAGGCGATAAATTAGGTGTCTCAAATATTTTTTCTAACCATTAACCACATCCATCAATTGTTTTTGGGGAAATTACTTGACAGTGAGAGATGAGGAAATTATTTACAAAAGCTGGGGGTGCAGCTTCTTTTATGAAATAAATTCACGGAAAAGGTTACAACTTCGCGTATTTGTAATTATTTTTCAACTGAAACCACTGATTTATAAATTAAAAATTTTACCAAACAAGTTTTTATTTGAGTTTTTTAAATTTTTATAAATATAAATAAAAAATTGAAAACGTAAGTGTTACCAAACAGCACATTTACAGTGGGAGATGGGGAAATTATTTACAAAAGCTGGGGGTGCAACTTCTTTTAGGAAATAAATTCACGGAAAAAGTTACAACTTCACGTATTTGTAATTATTTTTCATCTTTTAAACTGAATAGCAATTTTTCCTTATTTTTATGATCACCAAATTTCCTATGCCTAAGCCTAAGTGAGAAGAAACTATTGAAAGAAAAAAAAAATGTAACTCTGCACATGGCAAGGCTTAACAACATCAACCCATTCTAAGGTAACCGAGAGAGAGAGAGAGAGAGAGAGAGAGAGTTTGACCTAGAATATGAAATATTGGCTGATAGGTGAATATTTTCAATATATGAGCTGATAATACCATCAGATATTAATTGATATATGACCCGACCCGTATCGCTGATACTTTCAATACTCTTAAGCTATGTTACATGGACTCTTCAAAATAAATCAAATACCCGTGTTGGACACCCGACACTCGGACAAGGGTATGAGATATGTGTCGGATACTTTTCAACGGATACTTCTTATATAATTGTATATAACACTATTATTATATGTACATATTGTTGTATAATTGCTATAAATGTCATTTTGACACTATAAGTTAAATATAATACCATTTTATCTCACATATTAGATTAAAAATATAAAAATATGACATTTTTTTGCCGAGTTCGCGTATCCTTAAATTTATGATTTGATGAGTCCGACCTCTAGATACATACCCGCACCCGACACCCGTACCCGAGTCCATGTAACATAGCTCTTAAGGGTGTGTTTGATTGGACGGACTGGAAAATGGGGGATTAGAATCTATCGGACTTGAGTCCTGGGACTGTGAATCCCCCGGACTATTTGGTCGGATTGGATATGTATCCTGTGTTTGTTTTTTCATGGGATTAGATGTCTGGATAGGACTATTTTCAGTGAATCCAACGTTTGGTTGGACGGACTGGATAGGATAAATGAACAAAAGACTATTTTACCCTTTTTCAATTGTTTACTATGTAATAGCAATATTAAACATATCTTTAATATTTTAATTATTTTTAGTAAACATTAAACATACTAATGGTTAAATTTTGTTTAAAGATATTTAAACATACTAATATTGATAAAAAAAATTAAAACACTATTCCATTAAAACAGGCCTTGTGATGGTAAGTAAGAAGCAAAGTTGTCCAATCATTTTTTTTTTTAGTAAATTACAAATATATTTTTTCAAATTTATTTTTTTTTGACGATGAAATCACCATATATTAATAAGCAGAATAACAGCATTACAAGTTATAATAATCATGAGTACAAATAAAACTAGAATAAACAAGCAACAACAAAAGAGTCCCCTAGCCTAGTCCAAAAGCTCGACGTCGAGGTGGCCTGAAAAGACTGGGATGAGAGTAGGAATCTTCAATCCGTGGCTCCCGCTTGCGTTTACCAGCAGTAATGTCAAAGATCAATTTAGAGGATTTAGGACAACGAGGTATGGAAGCACGAATTCTTTTTGACTGGCCTGCATAACAAAACATAAAATTATCAAACAATGAAGCTTTTCCAGTAGTCGGTGCTTGCTCCTCCATTTCACTAGTCCCCCATATGGGGGACATGGAGTCCGGCCGGACTCCATGTCCAGCGGACTAAAAAAAAATCAAACGGCGGATAAGGAACACTATTTGGATTGTAATCCAAATAGTGGATAGTCCCCCTCCAATCCCCCCAATCAAACACGCCCACTTAATATGATGGAGAGACCTAAACTTCAAGTTGCTTCAAATTAAGATATGGTTATTTTGAAGATTTAGACAACTTTTCTCTTTCTCACTATTCTTTGACAGTTAATAAAGGATTGCAGAAGACGACGATTGAAATTTCAGTGACTGGCAGGGAGACTCCAATAACATTTGAACTAAGGATGGAATTAGGATTTTATCACCAAAATGGTCAAAAGATGAATAAATTTTTGTCATCATATACACAAATATACATGCATGTATAATATGATATATAAATTTTATATATATATACACACAAAAAAAAAAAATCAAATATCATAAAAGTCAGGGACGGATCTAGGATTATAACTTTGGGGGGACAAAGTACATTTAACCTCTAACTAATAAAATTTGAAGTTTAATACCAATTTTTACTAACATGAAAAAAATCAATAATGTTACGATAAAATATTAAACTATATATTCCTTGTTAACATAGTTGAGTACAAAAAGATGATCAGACAATTGAGAATATTTTTTTGTCCATATTCACTTACAAAAAAGTAGCAACTATTTCTACATGCATTTATTTACTAAAATTAGGCATCTTCAATTGAGCTCAACGCTCTTTCATAATATCAAAAGCATGAATGATAGAGTCTATCTCGAGCAATATCTTTTTCAATGTACGTAATCAAGTAACTAGCCAGAAAACTATCTTCCATCATATTGCGCCGAAAATTTCCAAATAGTTAAAAAAATTGGGGATCTATTCTATATAATTTTGAAATTATCTAAAAAAAATTTGAGGGTGCGAACTTCTATAATTTTAAATTATTTTAAAATTTCTAATATAATATATGATATTTTTTAAATTTTTGGGGGTGCGGCCCCCTTTAGCCCCCCTAGATCCATCATTGATAGAAGCAATCTCTAATAAGATGAAGTAGTTTTTTTGGTGCAAAATAAAAGAAGAATGCAAGATTAGAGAAAAATGAAATATATGTATGTATATATATTATTTAGGGCAAATTACATATACCTCCTTCGAGGTTTAGCTAAATTACAGATACCCCTTGAGGTTTGAAAAATTACAGATACCCCCCCGAGGTTTATATTTTGATAACAAACTACCCCCTAAGGTTTATATTTTCATAACAAATTATCCCCTAATTTGTTATGAAAATATAACCTTCAGGAGGGTATCTGTAATTTCTCAAACCTCAGGAAATATCTGTAATTTAGCTAAACCTCGAGAGGGGTATATGTAATTTGCCCTATTATTTATATTAGGGACATTTTATATATAAAATGAGATAAATATATTTTTAAAGTACTATAACAAATAATATTTTTTACAGAAATAGAAGAGTTATGTTCCCCTATAATCTTCTCCTAGTTCCGTCTCCAATTTGAACAACCTCTATCATAGTTGGTCACTCAGCGCTGTTTTCTTTGGGTTCATAGCAGAGCAATGAAGAACAAATGCACTACAAGAAATTTCACTTTTGGCGACTAAATTTTTAGTCGCCAAAAGCCTATTTTTTAGTCGCCAATCACTTTTGCCGACTAATATATTTGAGCGCTCGTTTGGTCACCAATGAGATCGTCGGGGAACATTTTTAGGGGCTCTGAAGTGGTTATAGTAAGCCAAAGATCAACAATTCCAATCACTTCCTCTTTCCAGCAACTAGTAACTTGTAGTAAACCTGTATAAAGTGCATTTTTACTATGACAAAATAACTTGTTAATTTATCAGGAAAATTTTACGGTACGGGCTATTAATCGTCATTTGTTTTAAATCAAGAATGCATTTGCCATATGATCCTTTGCCAACCCTAACCAGCACTAGAGAACTAGTCACTCATATCATTTAAGTTGGCTTTGCTTTTTTATTTTTATTTTCTTTCTGTTATTAAGGTGAATAAATTAGTGTAATATTTCTGGCAGGAAAAAAAAGTACCTAGAACTCCATTTGTTTAGTCATTAAAATTGTTTTTGCACATTTTTGTGTTTTGATTGGATTTAGCCTTGGAAATGGCATTGATGGTTGCCGTAGGCAGGGTAGCATTGGTAAAGACCGATCTGTCTCATTAGGTCTAGAAAGCATTTTTTATTTTTAAAAGACAACATTTTATCCATTGGCAACCAAAAATTGTTATTCATTGATTTTTGTTGTATCAAATGTTAAAAAATACGAAAACATGTTTTTAGATTGGTGCATAAATCTTCTAAAAAAGACATTGTACAAGAAAACCTGTTTTATAAGGAACCTGTAATGTAATGCAGCAAAACAAACGAAGCATATATATATATATATGTATGTATGTATTTATTAAAAAAACAAAAAAACAAAAATTTTACTAGAAAGCTCATTTATAAAGGTAATCATTTAAGTTGAAGGTCTGCAGCCTAACCCAAATCTATCAGGTTTTAACTTGGATCGAGTTAAAACCCAATCCAAGCCCTAAACCCAAACCCAACTGTTGAAGCCCAACTGGTCCAATGGCCTGTTGACCCGTAAGACGCAGCCCGTCAATTATTCTTTTATTCATTCCATAACAAAAGTAGAAAATATTATTTCTTCCACAAAATAGACCATTTCATGGGAGAAGTATCAGAAAAAGAAAAAACTAGAGGCATGTGTATATTCATATTACATGAAACAAATTATAACCCACAAAAGACCAGAGGTCTAATGTAAAATCAAGCTTGGTGTTTTTGTCTTTATTGCTTGCATAAATTACAAATTCCCTTCTAACCATCACAAGTTATGCTCATCAATCTCTTGTTGTACAAATCCAAAACCACAACACTTTGAAGTTGCTTCCTCAAATAATTTCCAGGCACCAAATGAAGTTATTTTTTGGAATGTGCTCAAGAATTCTAGACAAAGTTAAGCAACACATACCTTATCTACTTCATGAATGTCATGATAGCTTCATGAATAGAACTACTTCGACCAAGATCAGGACGCCGAGCCAGTGAATGAGGCCCGCTCCATACAGATTTGTGATTGTCAGGAAAGAGGGTTCCACATAACTTCAGAAGCATAGGATTTTGAAAACGACGTAAATTCTCGTACATTTTAGCTTTCTGTCTCTTATCTGACAATTCCTGCAATCACAAAAAGACCATTAAGAGAATGAATGCATTTCTTTAGTTACAACACACACGGTAGTCTGCAGTAACATTCTTTACAAAAAAATTGAAGATTCACATTATGGGAATATTAAATACATTCTATCTCATCCAATAAAAAATCCGCAATAGGTTTCGCAATAGGTTTGGCAATAGGTTTGAAAACAAACAATTATCAAGTAACCTATCAACACAACCAAAAAGGCAAAATTATCTAGTAGCCATATGCAGATTTTATTCATATAAAATTTCCCTTCATCTCCTGTGGATCAAAATTTAATTTCCTTAGTAGTTGAACTTGAAATGCCTTCAGAATCTTTTGTAAAATTTGCATTTCAATTCTCTTAGCATCCATAATGGAAGCGGAAGTTGTTAACGTTCAGAGATTCAAACAACCAATGGCCCAACTGTAATCTTAATTTCTTCATATGATTATTGTAATGACCAACCTTTTCCTCATATGATTATGGTGTTGTGCTAAACACCATAAGAAATCTAAGCAGCCTATAACATTTATTTCTGGAAGATCACACATAAAGATTCTGGGGGAAAAAAAATCAGCAGAAAGAAGTCACGTACCTTTAGCTTCTGTTGCTCAACAGCTACAGTTTCGAGCTCATGTTGCATTGATGTTTCTTCTGTCTGAGCATCAACCTGCTGCTGCATATCACCACCAGATTCCACCATATGTGTTGGGTAGTCTCTACTGTGCTCTTCACCAGATCTTTCACCTGGTTGTGAACGTCCAGACATTTCAACCCCTCCTTTTGTCTGCATATCCATTTCATTGCCCTTCTCCTCCTCCTCCTGCTTCTCTTGTATTGGGCTATATAGCTGTTTAGTAACTTCCAACTTCACCTCCTCTACTTTTTCTTCCAAGTCCGCATCTGCATCTGGCCCGGGTGAATTATCCATATTGGATGAAGTATTCTCACCGTAGGGACTTTCTCCAGGTGAAGGTTCCTTTTAAAAGAATGAAAATTAACTTTTGTAAATACAAACTAAAAAGGTAGCACTGGGATATATTTTACTTTATCTAAAGTCAACCAAATTTTATACTCGTTAGTTATATCAAGTCAGTCAAAAGTTCAAAACATATATTCATCAAGCAAGACACAATCGTCGCAGATATGATGAACAAGAAAGTGGCTAAGCTAGTTCCCAACTTCCCAGGATCATTAGATATTCCTTGCAGCTGGGAACTTGATCCAAGAAGCTGAGGTCCTGAGTTCAAGTAGTCCCCCTTAGGTTTTGGGCAAACCTCCAAGGATGTATACCAGTAATGCATAATTGCCTGGTCACGATTGGCCAGGGGACTGCAGAGACAGAAAGACTAGTCAAGCCTTAACACACCCAAACATCTCATTGGCCCTTTTTCATTTCTAATTGACTAATTCAAGATCTATGAATTTATAAATAAGTGAATTCAAAATCTTCAGTCTCAAAAATATTTTGCAAATCTACAGTTTCAAATTAGGTGATTCTATGTTTAAAAAGAAACAGACAAATTTAAATTTTCATAGATAGAATTTTGTAGATTTTTGCAGTCTTTCATTTATTGAGCCAAACACATCAAATTTTCTAATTGGGAATGAGCCAATTCCAAGTTGAACCCATTCACATTTTTAGGACAGCAAATTGGGCCAAGAAAATCCACAAATTAAACTAGAAACCAATGAATATCAGTAGTCAAAGACTTCAATGTACCTCGGGCTTCACTTCTTGAGCCAGATGACTGTAACTAGTCCCTATCTGGTCTTCAATTTGAGCACTCTCCTCACGCTCCTGCCTGCGACGCATCATTACACATATAGCACACAGACAGTCGTCCTTATGCCGTTTAACTCTGTTTTTTTTTTTGTGGGGGGGAGGGAGCGAAGATAACTCAGTAAGTGAATTTTTTTTTAAGGCAACTTGAATGACAAAAATATGAGAACTATTTTCCATAGAAAACTATACTAGTAAATCTATAGACATTTAATGCTTTTAGGATAGAACAAAAAATAAAGAAAAGAAACGAAGACAAAAAAATAAATAATCTCATGTACCATTGACCTAGACTTAAGATTAACTTTCAGAAAATTGAATGAGCTAAACCCATCCACGAAGTGACTGGTCACTTAAATTCAGTGTGACCTAAAAATAGATTTAATAATTACAAGTTCCTTAGAAGCCATCAAATAATCGAAATGGCCAAAGTTTAACCTGAAGCAAAAGTTTATAGTTTAATGCTGTAAGAACCCAGACAACAACAACAATAAAAGCAACCACAAAAGTGAATCCGGCATAGGAATAATAAGTTATAAGTGTGAATTGTAGTTTATATTGTTCATTAAGGATAGTTTAGTCCTTTAGGTGTTTAGGGTTTTATTCTATTAGCCTATATAATTGTACTCAGTTGATCATTCTTAGTTAATTCGACATATATAATATTCCTATTCATTCTCTGTTAATATGGTATCAGAGCAAAGTTATGATCAAACCTAGGTTATTCAAGGCACCAAAAGTTGCACATTGTAGGTCATCGACCATCGTTTCTATCCATCTCAGTTCATTGCAGGTTGCTGGCTCTCTCTCGCATCGCAGGTCTGTCGCTGGTTCTCTCTCGCATCACCAATCATCATTTCTGTCCATCTCTGTTCATCGCAGCTCTGTCGTTGGCTCTCTCTCTGTCGTTGGCTCTCTCTCGCATCATCGACCATCGACATCACTCTCTCTCTTCTCGCAAGTGGTTCATGACTCGTCTCCCTCTTCAGCCTTGAGGTTCGCACTTTTTTCTTTTGTTCGTGGTACGTCTCATCTCTGTATCACAGCCCCTGTTGTTCAACTTCTAGTCGGTAGTTGTTTATTCAAGTGATATCTGGTTCTTTGCTGGTGGTGTATCTCTCTCTCCTCGGCTGCCTTTCACTCTGCTTTGATTTCACTGTGTCTTTTGGTTATAGCAATATGGGTGATGATAAACTGCGAGCTATCACCAAGTTAGATGGTACCAATTATTCTTATTGGCCTCATGTAATGAAGAATTTATAATGGGTAAAGGCATGTGGAACTATGTTATTGGTGTAACTATTAGACCTATGGAATCCAAAGAAACTGCGGCTGATATTTCTAAATGGGATAAGGAAAATGCACAAATTCTTACTTGGTTTCATAATTCAGTTCAAACTACCATTGGTATGAATTTTTCCAAGTATTATGCTTCTAAACAAGTTTGGGATTATTTGAAAACTATGTACCTTGAGTCTAACTTTGGAAAACAGTATGAACTTGAGATGTCTATTCACAATGCTAGTCAAAAAGATAAGTCCATTTAGGAGTTCTACAATGAGATGTCAACTTATTGGGATCAACTTGCTTTAATGGAACCATCAGATTTGCAGTTACTTGACAGTTATACCAAGTATCAGGAGAAGTAACGTCTTGTTCAGTTTCTTATGGCCCTTTGTGATCAATTTGAGCCACTTCGGGGAGCTATTCTTCATCGGTCCCCCTTGCCTTCTGTTGATGGTGCTGTCCGTGAGTTTATTGCGGAAGAAACCCGGTTTAAGGTGGCTCATGGTGCTCCTGCCTCTTAGTCAATTTTTGTCACTCCTTCGCTCTTGCCTATCCCACCGTCTCATTTATTTCAGGTTTACTAGTAAGCCCAAGCCTCGAGTTTCCATGGATGAGTGCAGCTTCTATCATCAGCGAGGCCATTGGAAATATGCTTGTTCTAAATTTTTGCAGTCCAAGGGTTGTTTATCTGGTCCACCATCCTCTAAGCCGCCATCTTCGGGATCTTGCTCATCTACCGCCTTTTCTGCACCAGCTTCTGAAAATGGTCCGTCTTCCAATATGCAGTCTATGTTTGAGCAGTTCAAGCCTTTCATGGTAGCTAATCCAAATCTTTCGTCCTAGGCCTCCGCTATGACTACCACTCAGTTAGATTTGTCTAGTTCATCCTCTTCTGGTAATATCCACACTTCGTGGATTTTAGATTGGGGTTGTTCACATCATATGACCCCTGTTGCATCTCTCCTTAGTAATTGTGTCTCCCCTTCTTCTTCTATCACTATTGCTACTACTGATGGTTCTTCTCATAGTTGTCAAATCGGGATTCGTATCGGGAATCGAAATAACCTCGTCTCAAATCGCGAATCGAATCGAATCGCGAATCATAAAGATTCGGTCACTTTTTTAAAATTACTTAAAAACATATATCTACACATTTAGATGATAAATATATCTTATGAATATGAAATAATTAGACTTAAATCAATAAAAATGTTATTTTGAATGATAATCACGTAGTTTAATAGGTAAGAAGTTAATAAAGGTTCTTATGTAAGATCACTGTCTTACCTTTTTTTCTTTTATAGATATTTCTTATCAACCATTCTTAATAAAGATAATAACCAAATTGACAAATTATCAATTTTTAAGGTAACAATAATTAACAATGATATTGATATTTGGATAATAAGCATACATACTTTTTAAGTAATAGTAAGTAATAAGAAAGAATTATTTAGAATATTTTATTTTAAAGCCTAAAACATTTTAAAAGATATAACTGACCTCACACATGTAATATTCAATTATATTCAATTTAATAAAATAGCAATAGATAATTCATAGTGTAATTTTAATCTTAAATATCTTTAGAAGATATATTACATTTTTTAGGGGGGGGAAATGATAAGAAAGGTTAAAAATATGTTAGATTTGACTGAATTTGATTGGATTCTATTAAAAACTCCATGATCACTAAAATAACAATAAATCATGTATATATGTTGGTTATCTTGGTATCAAATGCTATTAGAAGTTATATTATGTCATTTTCACTAAAAAGATGGAGAAAAAAAAAGTCGAAAATATGTCAGACGCAATAATTTTTAAAATTGCATGAATCGTAAAAAGTGAATCGAATCGTGAATCGATTGTGAATCGTGCGATTCACTAGAGATTCACTTCCAAAATAGATTCACCTATAGATTCGTATCGATTTTGCAAAAATTACGAATCGAATCGCGAATCGTAAGATTCTGATAACAGAGGTTCTTCTATGTCTATACACTCTATTGGTTCTATTTCCTCTTCCCATTTGTCTCTTTCTCCTGTATTTTATGTGCCTCACCTTTCGCTCAGCCACAATTGTCTGACTCTGGTTTTGATGTTGTTTTCTCTTCTTCTCATTGTGTTGTGCATGATCGGGTATCCAAGAGGCAAATTGGGATCGGGCGTAGAGTTAGAGATTTGTATACCTTGGACAGCTTGCATGTTCCTTCAAAAATGTCTTCTACTGCATTGTCTTCTTTCTGTTTAAACAATAAGTCTTCTTTATTTTATATTTGACATTCTAGGTTAGGTCATCTATCGAGTGATTGTTTGAGGATGTTAGTTCGGTTTGGATATTTAGGCAATTTTCCCATTGATGATATTTCTGAGTGTCGAGGTTGTAAACTGGCTAAAATGTCTGCTCTTCCTTTTAATAAAAGTAGTTCTTGTTAGAATTTCCCATCTTTACCTTCACCTACTTCACCACACACTCCACTTCACCTAACCCACTATCACCTCCACTACACCTACTACCACATTTTCTTCTATATATAGATTGTATAGGAATTGTAATTAATCAATCTTGTAATACATAAATCAATAAACATCAATCAATAATACATAAATTTTTACATGGTATCAGAGCTATAAGATTTAGGCCCGTATTTTGTTTTCTCACCGGCGGGCAGCCGACCGGCAACCTTGCCTTCGCTGCCCGCTGGAATTTTTCTACACATACCTTCACTTTCCCGACCTTCCCACACAAAATTCTCTTGGCGATGCTGATGATGCTTGCACAGTTGGTGGATCAACTATTTGTTGCAGCATGTAACAAACCCACCGTGTTTTGTATCATCACTGAGTATTTACAGAGCCTCTCTTTCTCCAGTCCTAGAGAGAGAAAGTTGACAATGAGGTTCTAGTGAAGGTTCTGTCTTGGTGTAGCCTCGCCAGAATTTTGCTAGTTATTTCTGGCACTGTTTTATGGTGCTGGCAGCGTGTTCTTGGCGATGGTACGTTTACCGTTGCTATCGTCTCTGTCAGAGAAGTTTTTTTGGGCTGAACTGGTTCGATTGGTTGGGGTCATTGCTACAGAGAGCACGACTTGCTTTTCACCAGCGTTGTGGTTGTGTGGCTGACAGTCGTTCCTGGTCAAGAAGAGGAAGGCAATCTCACGCGCACCAAGCGTGTTGGGCTTTGGTTCATGTGTGGTCTGCAGAACATGTGGTAGTGCAATACCGTGTAGTTGTATACCACTGGTTTGGCATTTGTTTTTGAAAAACTGTGGGCTGAATTTCGTGACAGTTGTTTGGCGTGTTTGAGTGGATTTGTTCCCGCCTGAAGTTCCTTATCATTTTTAGGTGGGGCCCTCCATTTGAAGATGCTTAACGTGGGTTCACATGGCTGAGACGGCCACACACCGACCTCACTTCTTCGCCTACTCTGCCGCCGGTCTTTTCTTCTTGCCTCCGTCCTGGGCGGCCCTTACCGGTGTTGCCTCCGTATTTCCCACTCCACTGGGCATGATCACTACTCCCTGCTCCTCCACTGCAGAATATGGCGGACCACCAAAACGGAACATCACGGTGGCCTTCCGCTTCAGCTCCTTGTTTTTTGTCTTTAGCACACTTATCTCTGCTCGCGCATCCTTATACATGCGTTGGAGCAGAGCCAGCTGGGAGTTTAACTGTTGCACCTCATTTGTCCTGCTCTGCAGCCGGTGCGACAATACACTAGTTGTAATGAGCGGAATGGCAAAGACTAATGAAAACGGCTTAAAATGAACTAAACTGATATAAAGAAAATGCTTAGAGTTGGTTGGATTCGGCCGGACATTATGCCAAGTCCATCGTTTCGAGAATTATTACGTATCAATCCATGATATGTTGATAAGGGTAAGAGCGCGTTTACTTCCCTCTTTGAGTCTTGATGATAGGAGGAAAGGGTGGTCTTTCATCACATTTATCAATTTTGTCCCAAACGTGCTCGGGATCATTAAGCCATCAACTTGTGCTAATCAGTGTCCTCTACAACGTTATGACACCACCATCCAGTGTCTTCACCAATGGTCTGACACGACCATACAGTGTCTCCTATCCTTTTTTATTTTTATGTATTTTCTTGTTTTGTTACTCTCTCCAAACTCAAGTTGGTTAGTTTCTCTCCTCCTTGAGTTTGCGGGGGGCTGTTAGAATTTCCCATCTTTACCTTCACCTACTTCACCACACACTCCACTTCACCTAACCCACTATCACCTCCACTACACCTACTACCACATTTTCTTCTATATATAGATTGTATAGGAATTGTAATTAATCAATCTTGTAATACATAAATCAATAAACATCAATCAATAATACATAAATTTTTACAGTTCTATTTCTTTTTCTCCTTTTCATTTGGTTCATACTGATGTTTGGGGTCCTTTCCCTATAATTACCAAGGGTGGTTCGCAATATTATGTCTTTTGTGGATGATTATAGTTGGTTTACCTGGATTTATTTGATGACCCAAAAATCTAATTTTTACAAAATGTATTCTAATTTTCACTCCATGATTCGCACTCAGTTTTCCACCACCATTAAAGTTCACCGTTCTGATATGGGTGGGGGGTGAGGATTACTTGTCTGAGTTTGAAGAATTTTTAGCTACTAATGGCACTATTCATCAGCCTTCGTGTTCTGACACTCCTGCCCAAAATGGTCGAGCTGAGCGCAAAAATTGCCATCTCCTTGATACCGCTCGCTCTTTGTTGCTCTCGTCTTTTGTCCCTTCTATTTTTTGGAGAGAAGCTGTGCTCACTGCTGCATATCTTCTCAACCGGATGCCTACTCTTCTCTCGGGCTCATCTTCGTATGAGCGTCTTTTAGGTGTTACTCCCAATTATTCTCTTCTTCATATTTTCGGTTTTGCATGCTTTGTGCTCCTTTCTAAACGGGAGCGCTCTAAGCTTAGTTCTCGTTGTGTCCTATGTGTGTTTTTAGGGTATGGAATTAATCAAAAAGGTTAACGGTGCTATGATCCTACCACCAAAAAGCTTTGTGTCTAGGCATGCCACCTTTTTAGAAAAACTACCCTACTACACTATACCTTCCACCCTGTCCCTATTACTAAGGATGAATTGGTTCACGTTGACCCATTTCCTCCTGATGTTTCTCCCAATGAGTTTGTTTCTGATCTTGAGGTCTCTACTTTGCCTCTTACTAGCACTTCTGTTGTCTCGCCAACCATTTTCTATCCCGCTCCCGCTTTCCCTGCTCCTCTTCTTGTTTATCAGCGCCGCAAAGCACTTCTGAGCTCGCCTGTCTCTAGCTCTACTGTCCCTCCAATTGTTTCTTTGGATCCCACTCCTCTTGCACATCGCTGTCTAACGTGAGACCATTATCCTCCGAACTGGTATGGTTTTGGTAATACATGTTTTCCCCTTTCTTATCAGTCTTTTCTTTCTTGTCTTCATACTTATCTTGTGCCCAGGTCCTATAAGGAAGCTTGTCATGATCCCAATTGGATTGCTGCCATGAATGACAAGTTAACTGCTTTGGCTAACACTCAGACTTAGGATTTGGTTCCATTACCTGCTGACAAGAATATTGTAGGCTGTAAATGGGTCTATAAGGTCAAAACCCTTTCTGATGGTTCTTTGGAACAGTACAAAGCTCGTTTGGTTGCCCAGGGGTTTTCTCAGGAGTATGGGATTGATTACGATGAGACTTTTGCCCCCGTTGCCAAGATGAATACTGTTCACACTCTTATCTCTGTTGCTACTGCCTATCACTGGCCTTTGTTTCAACTAGATGTCAAAAATGCTTTTCTGAATGGGCATCTTGTTGAAGAAGTGTATATGTGCCCTCCACCGAGTCTCTCTCACCCTCTTGGTGTTGTTTGTCATCTTCGCTGAGCCCTCCTGGTGTTGTTTGTCATCTTCGCTGAGCTCTATATGGTCTCAAGCAGTCTCCTCATAATTGCTATGAACGCTTTCACTCTGTTACACTTCAGCTTAGTTTTTGCCCTAGTCATCATGATTGTGCACTTTTGTTGGCCTTGTTCTGCTTCTCGTATATGTGGATGATATGATCATCACTAGCTCTGATTATGGTACTATTGAGGAGATTAAGCATCAGTTGTTTCAGGAGTTCGAGATGAAGGATTTGGGATTTCTTCAGTATTTTCTTAAGAATTGAGGTTGCTACTTCTCCTACTGGGTATCTTCTCTCTCAGATTAAATATGCTCGTGATATTCTTTCTTGTGTCAATCTCACTGATGACAAAATTGTCAGCACTCCTCTTGAGTTGCATGCTAAGTTTTCGGCTTCTGATGGCGCTCCTTTTGAGGATCCCATTATGTATCGTGAGTTGGTTGAGTGCCTTGTTTATCTCACTGTTACTCGTCCGAATATCTCCCATGCTGTGCACATTCTCAATCAGTTTATTTCTGCTTCTCGTTCCACACACTGGGATATCTTACTCCGTACTCTGCACTATCTTCGTGGCACTTTGTTACAATGTTTGCTGTTTTCTGCCTCTTCGGACTTGACTCTTCGTGCCTATGCTAATGCTGATTGCGTAGGTGACATCTCTGATCGCAAATCCACTTCTGGTCTTTGTGTTTTCCTCGGTGATTCTCTCATATCCTAGAAAAGTAAAAAACGATCTGTTATTGCTCGTTCCACAGCTGAGGCTGAGTATCGTGCCATGGCTCATGCTACTTCCGAGATCGTTTAGCTTCAGTGGTTTCTTTCTGATATGGGTGTCTCTCTTTTTGATCCGACTCCGTTATATTATGATAATCAAAGCACTGTCCAGATTGCCCATAATTCAATCTTTCATGAGCAGACCAAGCATGTTGAAATAAAATGTCACTTTGTCAGACAGCATCTTTAGGCTAGCACTATTACTCTCCCTTTTGTTCCCTCCTCTCTTCAGTTGGCCGATTTTTTTATGAAGACTCACACTGTTGATCGTTTTCGTTTTTTTTCTTGGCAAACTTTCAATACTTTCTGCACTCGCATCCTCAGTTTGAGGGGGGGTGTGAATTGTAGTTTATATTGTTCATTAAGGATAGTTTAGTCCTTTAAGTGTTTAGGGTTTTATTCTATTAACCTATATAATTGTACTCAGTTAATCATTCTTAATTAATTCAACATATATAGGTTGCGTTGGTAGAGCTTTCTAAATATGATTTGAGAATAGGAGTTGTATTTTGAGTTTGTGAGTTTTGGAATTATGGTTTGAGTGTAGAAAATTTATTTAGTGAATGACTTTTGAAAAGAGTTTTGAATTGAGTGGGAAATTTTTGATGTGACAAATGATATTTGATACAAAAATTTACAACTCATAACAAAATACACAACTCAAAATTCTATTAAAACTCATAAAAAATTCAGAAAATATTTTTTGTTGAATATATAAAAATTAACATGTCAATTGCAACAAAAAAAAAATTGCACTGTTCCGGTCAACCGGTGGGATGACCGGTTAGTCTAAATTTTCCTGCCCTCGATCGAGTTTTCAAAAGTTCACCTGGAATTAATTTTTGAAAGGTGTAAACAAACACCACGTGCGAACATTATACTGGAACTAAAGTTCCAAAACACAAACAAACAGAGCCATAATAATCCTATTCATTCTCTATTAATAATAAGAACACAACCAAAAATAAACATGGACAAGTATAAGCAATTTAATTAGTAATTCACCAACTTAATAATTGTTTGAATAAGAGCTACTATGTCTTCTCAATTATGTACTTATGAGGGATACCATTATTACCAAAGCAATCGGTAAATCAGCAATTATTGGGACCTCAAATTTCACTGAGCTCAACAAAGCCGACATCATCATTCAACTCCAAGTCTTTTGAGCAGTAAATCTGTTGTGGGCAATCAGACTACTCCACCTTTTACTTCCCTGTGCTTCACTCTTTCATCCACCTTCTCATTGCATCTAAGCTTGCTTTCTCTCTGTATCGTCCTAAATTTGACTCCTAAATAAATCTCCTTCTATCTTTTCCTTTTCTATATTTATTTTTATTTTTTCGTATCCACATTAAATAGGTTAACTCCAAGCACCATTATTCATAAAAAATAATAATAATAATAAAAATAAAAAAAATAAAGAAAAACATTGATGATATTCAAACTCACCACAAATATCTAATCCTATCAATTGCCTTAACCAAAAGAAGCAAAAAAACGCATTAAATGGTTCCAGATACTGTACAAGAAAGTGCTCTAGCCAGCACAGAGATGAGCTCCAACAGACATCTTGATATTAAGTGTCTGTATTAGATCGAAAGGAACAAGCTACATGCACTTAGCAGTAATGCTGAAATACCAATGACAAAGACTGAGTATCAACTGTAATATTTACTAGTTTACCAGAAAAGCCAAGACTTTTAACACGTTGATTCCATTTTAACTTCTCAACTGATATACTATCATTAACAAAACATTTTTTGGAATAACTATGGTTCCAATGAAGTAAAACCACAACAACTACTCAGAATAAAATCACATAAAAGAAACCTGCAAAGGCATACCCATGGCGCTTTCGCATCTTATGTTTTAATGAACCACCTTTCACCTGCATCTTCTCATTGCTGCTAGGCGCAACATCCTTTGATTGAATGCTTTCAACACCTACAAAGAAGAAAATACTGTTGTTAACAAATAAGGCAAGCATATTATTTTTTTATTTTTTATTTTTTAAAAAAAAAGAAAAAAAAAGAACTTATTGCTACCATGACATGCATATGTAATAGAAAGCAGCCAGATATCACCTGGTGATTTCAGTCTTTGTTTTTTTTATGTTCACTTCCCAAGTGAATTTACACAACAAATGTAGTACGTACATGTAGGACGTACCATAAAATAATGATAGATCCTACATGTACACATGGCATTTGTTGTATGCTATGTTACATTTTCTCTTCTAAATTTGTGATGTATCCATGTCGAACAATTGAAACTTTTAGTAAAGGTACGAGATATGTGTCCAGTATGCTTAGTTGGACATACATCCATGAAGTATGCCTGAATAGTCTAGTTTACTGTATAACAATGTATAAGACTCCCATTTTATGCATAAATACTCTATGTTAGTTTGTAAACACCATTTCACACTACATAGATAAAATAAGTAAGAAATATGAAAACTGCATGAGAATTAGATTGTGTATCTATGGCCAATCTATGGTAGCAGTGGGACTTCATATATTATTTTTTTATCAATTGGAATAATTTATGGTTGCTTAATTGGACTAACAAAATGAACTATCCAGCATTAGTTTCTCAACCTTCGACTTAGGATTAGTCAGTTCTATTTCTCAATGGAGACAGAAGAGATATAACTTAGCGGTAGTCGGAAGAGTGTCACCTTGACGTGGTGAAAGTCATCAATTGATGAATCTGACACTAAGCATAGGTTTTAGGGGGAAAAAATTTAAAAAGTGAAATCCATCAATTGACAAATATCATTTTCCTATGCAATAATCCCTGTAATCACTAATGTTAACCAATGGGGTGAGCAAACAACTAAATTTGACTAGCGCCGCTTTGTGGTGTGAAGTCTCGAGTTCAACTCATATAGAGAGAAGTTTGATACCCTTTGTGGTGATGTTTATTTCTCCCCCATTATATGGGGGTTGTATGGAGCTAGTAATTATTGGGCTTGGGCTTTGGGTTGTATGTAGCTAGTTTGGGCTTGGTCATTGGCTGTGTTAAGTTTGGTGATTGTTGACTTTCTAGATATTGTTGAGCTAGTGCTCTATTTGATGTAATATTTCTCATATTTGTACTTACTCTCCTATTGATTCACACAACACAACAAACACACAAAAAAACTAAATTAGACAAATAATTATAGTATGCAGATACCAGGAACAAAACACAGCACACCAGTACCCACGTATCTTCAGAGCATAGTCAATTGAGGTAAGGAACAAAACAGTAAAACATCAAGTCAATGATTATATCAATGTGTCAAAATACATAGATCAACAGTAAACTGGGAAGTTGCAATAAAATATCTGTAATTGTCAAAAAAAAAAAAAAAAGAGAAGAAGAAAAAGAAAGAACAAAAGAAGATCAAGAAGAAGCAAAAAATTTAAAGTAACAAATATTGTTAAAGAATGTTCAAACAAAACCATGAAGCAAGGAAGAGCATGACCATGAAAACCTCACCATTAATACCGGGTTGTTCAGTATACAACCCAGCAGCCGTCCAATACTTTGAGAAGTTCTTCTTCACGCGCTTCATGAGCTCCACAACATAATCACCTTTATTGTTATATTTGTAACAGTTTTCCCAGATATATTGCACATCCTTAAACACATCCTCTGAATTCATGTACTTAACACCGCTTTCAAGGTTGCTGCATATTGTCCCAAAATCCATAGGTGTATCAATGACATCAAAGTAATCCTGGTTCCAACCGATAAGAAGGTACATGGCATTAGGCAAATCAAAGGAGTATAACAAAGTATTTTGGAATAACACAGTACATCTAAAACTGGCACACACAACAACAAAAATCCCAAACAATTGAAGTACTCTCTTTTCATGATTTTAAGCAGCATAATGAATAGCATGATCCTTGAAACAAGCAAAAAAATTTTCCTTTTTTGTTTAATCAAAGCCAGTTATAGTAAAGGAAAGAATGGATAACATCTCCAACGATAATAAGAGGAACAATGGCATCAATGATGTCCCTTATACACAATAGTGGTGGTAGTATGGATCCTGATAAATTATAGATTAAAGGTTTTGGTATTTCTACACTTGTGACTTGTAGATCCCACGCACTAAGTATATGCAGGTGGGGGCAAATATTGCCATATCTTGTTTGTAAATCTTTCTAACATAGAGAAACCACAACAACTGTAGACATAACCGTAGTTTGGGAGTGAAACACATAAATCTTGTGTTTTATGTGTCCGTGCAATTTACAATTCCTGTTTATTTTTGGAACAAACAATTCCTGTTCATTGTTTCTCTCTACTTTTTGTGTCTCACTGGTCCTAGGTGTTCCGTAATTCCCATCCAGTAGCATCCGACTCTTTACAACATACTAATGTACCCCAACTTCTCAAATAGAAATAGAAATAGAAACCAGCAGCTAATAGACAAGAAATTTCAAAATAATACACTTTAAACAGCTCTTGATGACACCCCCCCGGTTGTGCAGAAACATAGAAATGTCTCTCATTCCAGAGATATTGGCAAAGAACAAGATGAGAGAGATTACATTATAATCTTTAATAAGGGCCAAGATTACAAAACAGTATCCCACCCTAATGTAATACACTTCAATACAATGAACAATACACTTCATACTCACAGGTATTCCCAACGCAACAGGATTCACGGGAGCATTGAAGGGCTCAGCAGCATCCATTTTCATTATCTTCTTAATTACCTATTTAGGGACAAAAAGGAGGATTAGAATAAGTAAATATGCAAATAGACATCATTTGTAGGTATTTAGAAAACAGCAATATATTCAAGATACCTCCAGGGAAGCAGTTAATTCTTGCTCATTATAGTGAGGATCCCGACAAAGTACCCCAGGTTCTTTTTGGTTTGTACGCTCACTCTGCACCACTGCAGCATTACTACACTGATTCATACCTAAAGAACCAAAGCCCCTTGATGATTTAATTTTTATGCTCCCAGCTTTCTTGGATGGATTACCCGAAACAGCTGTATTCACATCAGGCAATGAGTTGGCACTGTCTTCCATTTTCTCACTAACTATTCCCTGATTTTCTTGACCTACTTGCTGGCTACTCTTGTCAGTATCACTTTGTGTAGGCACATCTGAAGAAGTAAGCTGAGATTGTAACGTTTTCGTCTTGATTTTCACTTTGACGCGCCCATAAACCAACTTTGCAGATGCCTTATTAATTAATCTGTCAGAATTAATACTTGCAAGTTTCTCTGGCTGATCAGTTTCCATTGAAGATGGTGTCTCAGCCTCCATTCCACAGTCATTATCATCATTGTCAATATCACCAAAACCAGAATTATCTTCTGTATTTAGACTGACAACGTTTTGGGTGGGCTCGTTCACTACCACCACAGGGAGCTTCTTTGATTTGCCTTTCTTATTCCCACGCTTGCGCTTCATGTTCTAACTACCAAAAACTTATTGACGGACTTTCTTCTATCACAGAAGCTTTCTAAATGGCCAACCTGATTCAGATACTCCTGCCCTTGAAATGTGTGCTAACATCATCGGGCGTACACACTTGTAAGAAAGACACAAAAATGAAAAACAATGCAAACAAACTAGTTGGAAAAATTAAATAGACCTGCGTTACCTGTGATTTTGTGGAAACACTTCTAAACTGTAGAGAAAACTAACTACAATACTACTACACATTCCACTGAAGGAGGTGGGGAAAAAATAGAGGGGCACAAGAGAAGAGAAAACAAATTAGGTTCCCTTCAAAATAAGGTCTCCGTTTTGTATTTGGCTGTACATGAAAACAGTTTATGAAATTTTGTGGAAACACTTCTAAACTGTAGAGAAAATTAACTACAATACTACTACACATTCCACTGAAGGAGGTGGGGAAAAAATAGAGGGGCACAAGAGAAGAGAAAACAAATTAGGTTCCCTTCAAAATAAGGTCTCCGTTTTTGTTAAAATCTACCTCACCTCACCTACTTCACCCACTTAAACCTACTCCACTAAACCTAACCCACTACACCACTACCACCTCCACTTCACCTACTCCTCACCTACTACACACTCACCCTCTCCTATATATAGGAATCTTGTAACAATTACAAACATCAATCAATAATACAATTCTCTTTTTCTCTTTATACATTAAATTTCTACAGTTTTGTATTTGGCTGTACATGAAAACAGTTTATGAAAACAAGCTAACTAGTCCATGCAAAGCACTTTCCTACATCTTGACTTGTGTTAAGTGCAGGAAATTTTTTGCTATAAATCTCCTTAAATGCCAATATGAAGTCCATCTTATTGCTAATTCAAACTATCTCAATACGAATCATTTTCATTTGTTTATACTCCCATTTACTTGGTAGATAATTCTCACACAAAGAGATTAGAAGTTAATTCTATTTCATTCGAAATTTCTCCGGAGAACAATTTTACGTCAATGAAACCAGACGAGGAGGTGGGGGGCACCCCCCAAAGAGAGACTCGGCGGGGAAAAGTGAGAAAACCAAAAACTATACTTTCTTTTGTTACCTAAACAGGTCAACCAATTTTCAAAGAAAATTTTACTCTCATATTAACACAAAATTGCACAGAATTTGAGGAAAACACAAATATTTTGAATTCAAGTGTTAGCTATTGTCAAATAGAGTGCCAACCTCTATGGACAGAATAACTTTCAAACACTGATGTCAAGATTTGCACCAGCACATGTATCACTTTAATTAGAATTTGAACCATCCTTTGGGTTTTTTGACCTGTTTGGTGTAGGTTGTAGCTTATTTTGGAAGTATATGCTAGAGTGTTTGGTACAACTTATTCTTACATCTTATGAGGCAAAAATTATTCTAATAAGCTGAAAAAACTGAATAATGCAAAGTTGTAAAGGGATGGTTTTACCTTTTGCAATTAGATTATCAGTTTTTAGCTTGCTAAAAGCTGCACTAAAAGAAATCATTATCCTTTTCTAGGTTTGGACTAAAAATAACACACGTGGATTTCTCATATTATCATGCAAAACAAAAATACATACACATCAATATCAATTCTTTTCCCTATTCTTTTGGTTTGATATATAATCTGTAATGTCTATTGATATGGCAACTGTATGATGAATCTATAGGATCCAATAAGTTGTACCTTTAGGATTACTCCTTTTTCATTTTCTCAAATTATATGTGTATAAATCATTGTCCATGCTCTTTGAAACTGCTCTACAACAAGCCAAAATGCAATCTATTTTCTCTTTTCTTTCAATTTTTTGCCGCTAAGAAGAATTCAGAAGCATATGTCTATTATGATCCTTAATTTTTTTTTAAATTGAATTTTCTAAACAATAAAATCACCACTCTGTTTGGTTTTGGGTTTTTTGAAAACTGTTTTTGAGTTTGCAATCGTATTTTTTTATTTTTTGCAAATGTTTTTTGTATTTTAATCAATTTTTTAATTTTACTTTTTAGATCCACTTAATCTAGATACACTTACAAAGTACGAAATTTGTGAAAAAATATTTAAAATTTCACTAAATAATTTTTTTTTTAATAATAGTACAATTTTGTATTCTTTTTTATATTTATTGAACTCTTTTTAGATTTCTTCACAAAAAATTTACTTTTTTTTAATATTGTGTTTGGTTGGGGGATTTGAAGAGGGATTTGGAAAGATAAATGGAAAAGGTAGGTGAAATGTGAATAAAACATACCTATATTTCACCTAGTTTCACACACCTTTTCCCTTTCCCTTTCCCTTTCCCTTTCCCTTTCCCTTTCCCTTTCCCTTTCCAAATCCCTCCTCAAATCCCCCAACCAAACACGACATAAGTATATTTAGATTAGGTGCATCTAAAAAAATGACTAAAATACAAAAAATAAATAAATAAATAAATAACAACAAAACACGAAAACTCAAACTCAAACTCAAAAACTGTGTTTTTTGAAGACTCAAAACCAATCAGAGTTATTCACCCAAAAAAAAAACCAATCAGAGTGAATATATTCACTTCCATTAAAAGGCAAACGATCCGTTTTTCAGCATACAAAACAATCATTTTTCATCATCGACTATGAAATTTGACATCAACACCTCTAGCTTTTTCCTCTCCAATGTTAAATTGTCCTCAATGAAAAAAAAAAAAAAAGGATCTTTGCAAATTTTCAAACACAAGGGGCTTCTTGGGGACACAATTTGGACATCCATCATCATAATCAACAACTTAACACCCCATATGAACAAACCCTAGAACCCACAAACCAAAAACAAACCATATTGACTAAAATTACACTAGTATAATAACATAAATTAAATCGATCTCCATGAAATTCTTAATTCAAACAGATGAACATATTTACACAGAATAGATCACAGAGTCAGGCAAAGGGAAAAACACGAAACCCTAATCACTATTCGATCGAAGTGAAGAAAAACTATAGAGAAAGGTGAAGAGAGGGTGTACCTATGTTTGTTCGAGCGACTTTCTCGGAGCCTTTTATAGGTTTTGTAGGTTTCAACCCGAATTAGTGATCCAGAGAGAGAGAGAGAGAGAGGGCGAGGAGGGTTAACAGTTCAAACTTCTTTCCGGTAATTACCAAACCACCAAATCTTCGCCACATCGACTAAGGGCTGTTTGGTGCACCTTAAACAAATAGTTTATTTCAATTCAGAAGTTGTGCTAGATTGTTTGGTATAAATTGTTTTGGGAGGGTACTTCTCTTTAGTCTTCATCTCGATTTGAGAGAATTGTTCGGACCTATGGGGATCATTACAGGATTTATTTTAGGAAAATGTCTCGTAACTCAAATTTTATAGCTAAAAAGTGATTTAAATGGTCAAAGCGACGTCTTTTTGGCCATTTTTATGTTGTTCTGTACTCAAAACGACGTCGTTTTGGCCATTTGAGCCACTTTTGAGCCACAAAATTTAAGCTACGTAGCACTGTCGTTTATTTTAATAGTTTGAATCGTTTATTTTATTAGGTATTACGGGTATATTATTCACAAAAAAAATTAAAAAAATTTAGGTCTGAACCATTTATTTTATCGGATTCTATATGTATATTACTTATTAAAAAAATTAGATCCGATATTTATAGCCTTCATTTTATCGCATTTATATCAAAAAAAAAAAGGATGTTCTGATTTTAAAACATATTGACTGTTAAATTTTTCTTAGATAAATTATATAAAATGAAGGGATTATAAATATCAGATCAACCTAATTTTTTATAGATAATATATCTAAAAAGTCTAATAAAATGAATAATTTAAATTATCAAAATAAAAATCGTAATAAGCCCACAGACCCATATAAGTTTCTTCAATCTAAATTTGGAACAGCGACTTATTAATCAAAGTCGCTATTTGTAATAGCGATTTTCATGTTCATCTACTTTTGCGCTCCTAACAGTAAAAGCGCGAATAGTAATGGCGCTTTAACTTAGTTTTGGAATTCCGTCAGAAGTTGGCCTAGTTTTGAAAATACAATACAAAAATGACTTATATTGGGAAAAGCCTCAGATAAGCGAGTCGCTTTTATTTATAATTTATTAGCCAAAAAAAATTTAAATGAGTAAAAAAAAAAAAAACTATTAATCAAGAAGTGGAGAGAAATGCTTTTGACTTTCAGTTTCTAATCATTCATTTTCGTAGATTGTACTAAATTGCATCAAACAAATCTTAAAGTGTAAAAAATTCTGGCTATTTATTAACAAAATGCTAAATATTTTTGCCTATGTTTTAGTAAATGCTTGGTTACACTTTTTCAAAACCATATTTCAGGAAATTTAACTTTTTTATTTTTTGTATTTTTTTATTTTTATTGAATTTTTTTAATATTTTAAGCACTTTTTTTTACCTTTTAGACATACTTAAGATAAATTTACCAAAAAGTAAATAAATTGTGAAAAAAACCTTTTAAAAATTCACTAAATACCAAAAATATAAAAAAAATATATGAGAATTCAGTATATTTTTTGTATTTTTATGTATTTATTAATTTTTTAAAATATTTTTTCACAAATTTTTTACTTTTTAGATATAGCTTAGTAAGGTGCATTTAAAAAAGTAAAAAAAAATATTTAAAATTTTAAAAATATTCACTAAAAATAAAAAACACGAAAACCAAAAAATTTAGTTTTCAAAAAACTTAATCTAAAAAACTCAAACCAAACACACTAATTATTATTTTTATATTTCACTCACTTTTATGCAAATTGTATAATATTTTTACATCTTTTAATAAATATTAATAAAATTCAATATTTTTTAAAATTAATTACACTTTGCTCCTATTTGTTTTTGGTAATTTTTTATTTTGAACTTTTCATTTGTTTAGGACACAATTTAAAGTAGCGATAGGAAAGTGGGATTTTGATGAAAATAAAACTAATTAAAGTAAAATTTTAATAAAAGTATAAGAATGTTAATTGACAGAAAGATGGTCAATTTTACAAATATGTTCTAAAAAAATGACTAGTGTTCATCAAGGGAAAGATATTAACAATAAATGGATGGAAATGTTACTAGGTTGACAGTCACAATTGAAAATAGAGAGTTCAAAGACCGGCCGGTCAACCAACCGGTTGCCCAGCGCAAATTTGATGAAACGGATTTGTTGTTGAACCGTTGGAGCGCGAAGTATCAAATTAAGGAAATGACCCCTTTTTGACTCAGATTTGGTGAAACATTTGGTACACCGTTGGAGATGCTCTAAGTGTAAATAAATCAGTGCATTTTTTATTTTAATTTTGTTGACTAGACTGTTCACAATCCTATAGTTAACCAATCAAGAAAATGAAAATTTTCTTAATTGCTTGACAAAATAAATAAATAAACAAAAAACTGTAATGCAAGTTAACTTAGCCTCCGTTTGGGAAGTGGGTTGACTTTTTGACTTTTTGACTTTTTTGGCTATTTTAGCCTGGGCTTAAAAACTTAGTTTGGGAAGGACTTTTTGACTTTTTGACTTTTTTGAGTTTTTTTGTGAGAGAAGAATGTAATTGATTATGGGTTGGATGTGATGTTTTGTTTGTTATGACTAAAATAGCCTATTTTATTTTTTGTGGCTAAAATAGCCAAAAAAGCCCAAACCATGGCTTCCCAAACGAAGCCTTATGATTTTACTATTACTATTTTACTATTTTTTTTTTTTGTTTTTTTGAGGGGCAACTCTTTTTGACTCTTAAATTTATAAATGGATTTGTTGGGGGTAAAAACGAAAACAAAATTCAGGGCCCAATTGGGAATATTTTAAAACCCCCCCCCCCCCAAAAAAAAAAAAAAAAAAAAATTCAGACTTTCACTAAAAATAAAGAACCATCAAGTTTTTCACTTACAAAAAAAAATTAAAAAATTATTCTTTCTCTTTATTTTTTGTAAATTTTTTTTGTAAAAAATCAAAAAATCATTCCCAAGCAAGCTACTAAAAAGCCACATCCCAAACAGACCATTGGTTTCTACGTCCATTGTTTTTTTCAGTCACTAGAAACCTGACCACAACTCCAAAATCCAAATAAAGCATAAGGGACTGCTATTTGGTGTGAAAGACTAGGAGGAGCAATAACCATTCTAGACAAACCTTTCACTCTGGCATAATTTATGAGCTCTCGCTAGCAGAAAATATTTTCCAGAAAAACAAGCTGAATGTAAGAAACTATGAGGCAATACAAGAATGAAGAAACAGCACCTCAGAAGCCAATGAATAAATTAATATATATGCTGCCAAAAGATTCATACAGTTGTTCTCTACACAATCTGTGGAGAGATTGATTAGCATTACTCAAACCCGAGCCACAGCATTGGAAGCATATAACACTTGCCATCGCTCCAAATTATAACCGAGTTAACTCATCAAGTCATTTAAAGATCCATATATGAGAACATATTCACAAACCAGTTTTAGGATATGCCACAAGTCCACCAGACCACATCAGGATTGTATCATCTGTACAAACCATCCATATATAATACTAATAACTTGTTTCATCATTCATAAATCCACATCATTTCACATTCACAACCAGAAAGTTTAAATCTTCAAACACAGAACATCTTGAACAACTACCACAAATAATAGTATATTATATGTCTAAGACCGGAATCCAAGATCACTACATTTCCACTAATAAGAAATTCAATCCACCGAACATCACCTCCTTTTGCGTGTCACCTGCAAACAAAAGAACAAAAAATTAGTGATCCATTAGATCAGTCAAAACCTAGTTTAAATGTTACTGACTAATTGCAACATATGGGTCACCCAGCAACAATTGCTCCTGCTGTCTCTCTTACATTGTCCACGACGTCGTATCAGAAGTGGCATCTCAAAATGCACTTTCAAAAGTTTAGGTCCACAATTTAAAGCCTTACAAATTGAATTCTAGACATTAAAACAAGAGAACCAGCCACACAAGAACATTGAAAGTATTGCATAGAAAAGTAGTACTCATATGATAAGAGTGAAACAGAAAATGGAGAAATACAATTCATTCCATGAGTGATTAATTACCTTTGCAACATTTTTATTCGGCTTCCTTCCTCTTTTCGTTGCAGTTTTCTGTTTTTCATGAATCAATGGTAATTGATAGTTCAAATAAATAAGTACTATTGAATAACTCTAGCAAACTTACTAACCAATATCTATATTACTCACCTGAAGAGATGGAGCACCCTGGCGAACAGATGATGAATGTACCTGCACTTCTTGTGACCCCTCAGAATTGATAGAGACATCTGCAACCTGTTGAGAACGAACAAGAATTGAAGTTTGAAACAAACGCAATAACTTCTAGCTAAATGCAAGAATAAATAACTCAAATATTTACCTGTTCAGCATTCAAAGGCTCAGGCAGTGAACCTACTGCATTAGGCAAATGCTTCTCAGGGGACTTCTTCTGCATGGTCGACATCATCGACATCATGGTAGTCATTTGAGCTGCCATCTGTGCACACGTCTGCTCCATGGACGACATTTTGTTTTTCAACTCACGTACCTCTACATTAGCCTCCGAGACCATTCTAATGGCTTCAGCACGACTTGGTTTTGGACCTCCAAGATCAGATGGGGAAGGACCCAACAAATAACGCACACGACCATGTCTATCTTGTCCCACAACTTCAGCGAAGACATCATCTTCAACAATACCATTTTGTGAGGTCCCCCGCTGTTGAGAAGCTTTTTCGCGAAGTTGCGACTGTAATAAAGAACATTGTGTTAGTGTTTAAATTGTACAATTGATCACATAACAAACCAATGCATATACAACAAGAAACAACAAATATTTCAGTGAAAGATCAACTTGAATGATTTGAGAATTGAACCTACAATTATTACTGATGATGCCTCATTCACAGGGTGCCCATCTTTGCGTGTACGTGTCAGTATGAATAGCTCTGCCCGGGATGGCTCCTTCCCATCAGGCCTTTTCTCACGCTACACTTATTAAACAACAATTATGAGTGCATCGCTACATGAGTGCTGAAACATAAGCAACAATGCAATTTTAGGTTTCCGAAGTCATGAAAGTACCTGCTCTTCACGCACTCGAGCGAAGCTCTTTGTGCCTGTTGTGTGCATTGTCTTCTGCTGTGCGCGACTGGCCTTATTTGTAACACTTCGCTCCTGTACCGCAGCATGGATAGATACATTGATTCCATTTTCCATTGAAAGAAAAGAAATGGATAATCAAACTTCTAACGGATTGCATCATATCAGCACACATAATAGTAAGAAGTGAATTCTACCATCTTTGTCCAGAACATACCTGTGCCTCTTTGGAGTTCCAAAATGAAATTAGAATCCGCCACTGATCCGGAAGGACCCTCTCATCACGGTCTGCCAGCCGCTCCTCATCGGTAGTGTGACGATTATAATGATTAGCCTTTAACAGAGCCTTCCAGTTCTTCCATTTATTGCCAATGGACTTCAAGACCCAACTTTCACTGTTTGGGTCAATATCAAACTTTTCCTATATATGTAGGTAACATATGTCAGACAACAAAATAAACATATATAATATATTAAGAAATAGTTCTCCAATACCTGAACTTGTTGCCACATTTTCTCCTTGTTCTCATCGGGAAATGCCCGCCAATCAACATAATTAAGGGGCGCTAAATGACCATTTCGTGCCATGGTGCCAAGGAAGTTAACTAGTTTGGGAGCCTCAAGGCCAATGGGCTGCCCAAGCGCATTGGTGGCAATAGGTATCTTGTCTTCCGTATTCCATACATCGAGGCACCGTGTTGGGCCACGACCACGAGTCTTCCTCTTAATGCTAGTAGAATCTATTAAAAAAAAAATAATGGGAGAAAAAAACAAGAGAAGGAATAAATATGCACATAAAACAATGTAAGTTGAAAACATGAGAAAGTAAATATGACTGAATACGACAAGTCTGGCATAACATACCTGCACTACCCATATCAATGCCAGCTAGTGGAAGAGAAGGCTGTGGCTGGCTAGAGCTCGGATTGCCCTGACAAGTCCCCTGCTGGGGCTGCATTTGGATTGGGGCTATGTGGCTAATGTAGTCAATCATAGGACCCACGGGGAACCTAGGCCCACGTTTGGTGCACCTTACTATGGATTCTGTAGGAGGCGTTGATTGTTCTTCTAGAGAGATACAAGTGTATGAGAGATACAAGTGTATGATTATTACAGAAGCAATATAATAAGGTACAGAATTTCACTTAATTATAACAGGGAACACATTGATGCATTTCAATAATAGACAAAAAAAACTATGGTGCATATAAGAAATTGTTGGCGGATTCCGCACTCAAATTTATCAAGTTATTCATATAATAAGCTACACAAAGCGGCTAGAGGTTAATTTGATTCCAAACTTAATTGAGATCTTACATGGAAAGAGGCATACCAAAATATGCGCCTAGCCCTAGCTAGTCTTGCCTACATGCACAATGTATCTGGATTCAAATCATAAAAACTAGCCATACTCGCAATCAAACATGAAGAAAATATACCTGCGCTACTCGTTTCAGCACCAGCAGCATGTGGCTGGGAAGGTTGTGGCGGCTCAAATCTAGGATGCAACTGGCTAGAGATCAGTTGACCCCGGCAAGACCCGTGCTGGTGATGTTCCTGAATGTAACTAGATGAGGGTTGATGTGGCTGCATATGCCTTGGGGTTATCTGATCCTGCTGCTTGTGGCTGACACAGTCAGCCATAGATCCAATTGGGCAACCAGGCCCATTTTTGGTGCACCCTAGTATGGACACCTCAGGAGGCCATGAGTAGAAGTCTCCTTCATAAAAGAGATGCTTATAGTTATTACAAAAGCAATATAATACAGTAGTTAGCCTGCATTAATTATCAAGAAGGCTTGCACTGATGCATTCAGCAATTCACTATTATTAACACAGAACAGGCTATGTACTATTTCACATAGACTCGGGTATGAGGATCGGGTGTTGTCTGTGTCTAAGCATCAGACCTCCTTAAATCTTAATATTAAGATAAAACGATATGCATTCAAAAGTTGGGTACAGATATGTAGACACGTCCTGAACATGTATGGTACAAAAATGCTAGATATCCCAAAAAATTTACTAAAAATTCTACAAAATACATGTGAGTGTTGTGTTTTGGTAAATTTTTTGGGATCCCTAGCATTGCTCTTAAAAGTCATGTAAAAATGTATAATATCCTGACATAAGATGATGTTATTATTTACGAATGTACTTGAACAACACTGGATTCAAGATTTCTATATCCATCCATATGAGAGGCTAGAAATACTTCTTTAATATCAAATATGAGCTTCTTAAGCATTGTTAAAAATTAGAGGATCGAATTGTCCAATTTGGATATGTGGGTTGAACACATATTTCATACCCTTATCCTTGTCATATAATAGTGTTGACACAGGTACACTAGGGGGAATGAAAGAGTCCATGTAGCAAAGACTATATACAAATTAAAAGTGCACAACAAAATAGCTAAAATAACATCAGTATTACACATTCAAAAACTATATACATCTAGAACAATGTTTAAAATTTAAAATGTGTGGAACAAATTTGCTTGGCCAAAAACACACCAAGTATATTTCAAATTCTTAATACTTTCCTAAATATTTTTTCTGGGTATATAATGTGAGAATATTAGTATATATTTGAGAAATTGTGTGAATATTTTATATTCTTAGGTTAATTCTTGTTTCCTATTTAGTCTTAGACCTAGAATTGCTATATAAATCAAATGTACCCTTTGTATTGATTCACAATTGGATATACATAAGTCATTTAGAATTCTTACATATAATACTTTTTGTGAATCAAAAATGGACACCAAAATTTTGGTGTGTGACATTAATAACATCTTTTATTGTTTCTATATCATTAATTTAATGGGTTTAATAATTTTAAAAGTAATGCTATAATCCCATTTTTTACTCCATTTTCATACTCCTAGACACAGAACAATGGGGTCCACGTAAATAAATGCACATGGGACCCACTGACTTGTGTCTAGAGATGAGAAAATGCATTAAAAAATAAGATTAGACATAACAACATTTTCTAATTTTAACCATTTAAAATATGAGCAACGGAGAACACATGTTAACATGACTTGGAAACTACTCAAGCATTGGGGCTAGAATAATATACCTTCACTACTCATTTCCGCACCAGCAGCATGTGGCTGGGAAGGTTGTGGCTGGTCAAAGCTGGGATGCAACTGGCTGGAGCTCAGATGACCTTGGCAAGTTCCGTGCTGGGGATGATGTTCATGAACGCAACTAGATGAGGGTTGATGTGGCTGCATATGGCTTTGGGGTATCGGATCTTGCTGCTTGTGGCTGATGTGGTCAGTCATAGGTCCAATTGAGCACCTAGGTCCACGTTTGGTGCACCTTATCATGGACACCTCAGGAGGTGATGAGTAGACATCTCCTTCATAAAAGAGACGCGTATAGTTATTACAAAAGAAATATAATGCAGTAGTTAGTCTGCATTTATAAAGGAGGCATGCACTGATGCATTCAGCAATTGACTAATAACACAGAACAGGCTACTTACTATTTCACATAGACTCGGGTATGGTCTGTGTCTAGGAATTGGACCTCCCTAAACCTTAATCTTAAGATAGTCCATGTAACATAGACAATATATAACAAATTGTTGACAAATTAAAAATAAATAAATAGAACACAATGTGTCCTTAGCGTGTCCTACACGTGTCTAGAGGGTGTCCATGTCCAACACGTGTCGGACATAGTACGCAACCTCCGGAGAGTTGTCCGTGCTTCATAGGTGCTCTACAAGGAAGGCTACACCTATTTGATGCCCTTAAAGCTAGGGCAGCCCCTGCAACAGTTTTAAGGACAAGGAGATTCTTTATAAAGGAGGCTTGGTAAGAGAAAAAGGCAAGTTTGACAGGCTAAAATAAAGTGAATGTTTAAACCCTATTTAGAGGTTAGTACGACCAAAGCCAATACACCACGGTAAGAGACCAGTCATATTCCCAAACATTAAAGACTTCATCTTTTTTTAATCTTTTTGATATAACATTAGCTAATGAGAATTATAAGTATTGCAATGATGCATGTGTAATTGAACTGGTGTTACACTAGTATCATGAAATACGAAGATGTATCACAAGTATTTCAAGTGAATCCAAATGATTGCACATCTACATGGCATCTCTATTGTGCAATACACTTGCTTTATCAAACTTGATATTTGACACATAGCAAGTGAATCCACATGATAGCACTGTACATGCATGGCATCTCTATTGTGCAAATTGTTGAGCTGTCAAACCTGGTTATGAACCTCAAACAAAGATACCTGCATTAGCAATATTTGTACCAACAAATGGCTGCTGCAGCCCAGAGCCCGGTGGGCACTGGCAAGATCTTTCCTGGGTTTGATATGGATGAATGCAGCTCACTGAGGGCTGATGCTGATGAAGTTGTGGTTGGCTCATGCTAATCTGATTCTTCTGCGAGCGGCTTGGGTTGTCAGCCATGGAACCCACAAGAGACTTATGCCCACGTGGACTTCGTCTCATGGTAGACTCTATAGGAGGAAGTAAGTGTGAATGTCCTGCATTTTCATAAAATAAAAATAAAAAAGAAGAAACATACGACTATTAAACATGCAATAGTGCATCATATTGAAGATAGATGTAGTGCAATTCTGCGTTCAATGGACTCTTCAAAATAAATTAAGTACTCATGCCAGACACTTGACACTTTGATAAGGGTATGGGATATGTGCCCGTCACTTCCCATCAGATATGCATTTAGTTACTTTCCCATCAGATATGCATGCATTTAGCCAGTATATACATCAATTCAATTTCATTATATATAATTATATTTAATGTTGTCATTATATTTAGTTTTTGTTCCGTAATTGCTATAAAATTAGTAATGTCTTTTTTACACTATGTTACAAAAAACACCACTTTTACACAAAATAAATTAAAATTAAAACATATGACCTTTTTTTTTTGTGGCAAGTCTACATAATTACATATCCTTCAGTTAGAAGTTTGATGGGTTTGACACCTAGATACGCACCCGACCCATACCCAAGTCCATGTAACATAGGTGCGATTATATAGGGACATGCCCTAATGAAATATAACAATGGCCACTACCTTGGAGACAAGGCTATATACAGGAGTTGGTTAGCAGATTCCAACAGCAACTAACAAGTTCACGTTACAAGGGGATGCATGTAGCTTCTAGAGGTCAAGTGGTTATTATTAATTAACGCAATAGAGGTGCTATATGGTTTATCAAACATGTTCCAAGCCATAAGCTCACTCTACCCCAATGCAAAAGGCAACATCTAGTAAATGCTAAAATCCCCAATACCTTGGCAGGGAAACAACATGTTGAGTGTCTGAGTCTTGCAAAGTCATATATATTGCAAAGAAAAGCCAAAAAAACACTTCTAGCATGTTTTAGAAGTTACCTTACCTAAATGCATCTTCTGAAATAGCAAGCATCATCCCCAATACACTTTATTTATCCAAAAAAAAAATTGAAGAAAAAGGAATAGCAATATGCACTGCTTAAAATAAAAACAAAAATAAAAAAGGTAACACCTATTTGGTGTCAAGGAAGCAAGGGCAGGCATCTATGCACTCTAATAGCAAAAGTAATGCCTAACTGGAGTTTTAAAGGCGAAGGGATTACTTGCACATTCTTTCTTTTTTTTTTCTTTTTTTTTAAAGTATTGCTTGCATGTTGCTTAAACTGGAGCAGCAGTTGAGGACTAAAAAATAAAGTGAATGTTCATATCCTGTTTAGAGTACAGTATGAAGAAAGTGAAATGTGAAGGCAAGATACATATATAATCTTAACAACATACTATTAATTTTTTCTTTTTTCACTTTTAGGTACGAGACATTAGCAAATATTGATGGTGATGAACAACTCAAGGATTTGTTAGATGAAATTACTTCATTGATTTAATCGGTACGTATGCAAGATGTATCACGAGTAAATTTCTACAGCTGAATGTACTACAGAATACAGTGCAAGTGAACAACACATCTCATATCATGTAACACATCTGCTGCATGTGCAAAACGTCGAGCCATAATAAAAAAGCCAACCTAAATGAACCTCAAACATAGCATACCAGAGCATACCTGCACTAACACCATTTGTGCCAGCCTTAGGCTGACAAGTGTGGTGCTGATCAGAGCTCAGTTGACACTGGCAAGGCCTCTGCTGGGGATGATATGATTGGCTGTACCTCAATGAGGGCTGATGGGGATGAACTCCGCTCGGGTCTGCGTGATCCTGCTGCTGATGTCTGGCATGGTCAATCATAGAACCCACTGGGCTCCTATGCCCATGTATGCTGCAGCTCATAGTAGACTTCGTAGGAGGTACATCTGAATGTCCTTCAGAGAAGAGACACATGTATAATGGTTAGTAAAGTGACAAGTGAGGATCCTAATAAAAAACTACTATGGCGGGCCCTCCCCGCAAAAATCTATTTAATATTGATTGGGACACTGGCCCATGTATCAGATAACTGATAAGAACAGTCGCTATATACTTCATCTTAGCCAAAAGGTTCCCACACCCACTCGTTCATTGTGGTTTGTATTTTGATTATTCGTGTTTTTTGATTGAACTTGATATCAAGTGGGTGATACCTAGGAATGTCATTCAGCAATATTCTCCACGGAAAGTTAAGCCTAGGAGTGCAAGGACAGAATAACCAGCTGAAAATGTGCACATTGGGAGTATCTTGTGTATCTAGAAGAAAATGAACAGTGAAATATTTGGGAGGAAGAAATTACTAGCAAATTTGGGAAGTTACAATAATAGCTAAAAAGCCAAAAAAAAGTCACCAAAAAGCCAAAAAGGCAAAGAACAATACAAAAAAAGTCAAAAAAATCTCTTTTCTCTCTACTTTTTGCATATTTTTTTGTAAAAAACCAAAATATCATCCCAAACATATTAATTTTTTTCACCTCATATTTTAGCCAAAAAGTTACTAAAATAGCCTATTCCCAAACCAACCCTGCGACTTTTAGCGAAGTCGAGTGTACTCATCTCTCATTGGGTGTGAACACTTTGTTGAGAAGCAGATAAGGTCCACCTCCCTAAAAGTTAGACCACATAAGGTCCTCCACCTCCCTTACAAAACCCTTGCTGAGTACTCCCCTATTGTGTGAATATGAATATTATTTCCTCTTGCTCAAAGTGTATCCTGCTTGAGATTTCCCCCAGGGCTTTAGGCCCGGTAATTACCTGGTACATGTGGGACGGGGGGACAGCATGTACACAGGGATTAGTTGGGGTGAAGCCTCAGACACCCCGTTAGCCAAAAAAGTGTATCCTGCTAAGAATATTGTTTTCTTGGTGCCTCATTTAATATGATTCTTTAATGGTCCCTCCACAGAGTTTGTCTGAAACAGAGTACTTGTATAGCAGGTTTATAGGACAGATTTGATTGCTCCCTACCTTGCCTGTACAGTTTTTAACATTTAATTAAGATTTTAGACCAATAATTGATACTGTATATTTTCCGATATTCTTCCCAGAGCATGATTTAATGATGATGTTTTATTACGACCAAAATGCAAGAAGAGGTTGCTCAAGAAAGTCAAACATCAATTGCCTAACATGCATTTTCTGTTCTTCAAAACTTATCTAATTTGGTCACCAGTTGATTGATTAACATGTAGTTACTAACAATAGCTGGCTAGGCACCATGTTCTGCAGCCATTTCTGTAGAGAAAACAATATAGTGAAAATGAAAAATATTACCAAAAAAATATTTCACTCAAGATCCAGAAACTAAAATGTCCTTTATGCTAATTCAAAACTGCAGAAGTCATAGATTCATGGGAGGGTTACACCAAATTAAATAATAATAATAATAATATAATTTTCAACAAAAAGAAAGACCGCTTCAAAAAACAAACGAATAGACTAACAAAGTAGAAAGGGACCTCTTTGTATATGCAAAATATTGTCAAGATGGACAAAATCCAAAGAAGCCTATAAAGTTTTTTATTTTAAAGATTGGGCTATTTGTTTAAGAGGCCCAAGATTACATGCCATAGCATGTTAGAGGCCCAAAAGCATGTGGTAGCATTCTTCACAACATAACAAGAGACTGAATTATTATGTTCCATAACAAATTGAACACCAGAATCCATAGTTAACAGGCAAAGCAAGAAGTCAATGACAACCAAATGAGCCACTTTCTGCATTAATGAAGAAAATCAAATGCATAAATTAAAAAAGAATCATGAAACCCTCACCATCAATCTCCTGTTGTTGTTCCCTGTATAACCCAGCTTCTGTCCAAGATTTTGTGAAGTTCTTCTTCACCCGCTTCATGAGCTCCAAAATATAATGACCTTTTTTATTATACTTATAACAGTTATCCCAGATATATTGCACATCCCTTAAAACATCCTTCGAATTCTTGTACTTAACACCATTTTCAATATTGCTACATATTGTACCAAAATCCATAGGTGTATCAATGATATCAAAATAATCCTGCTTCCAGCCCCACCACGATTAAAAAAACCAAAAGTTAATTAACAAATAAAGGAAGAAAATGAAGAGTTAGTACACAAAACAAAAACAAGTTTGACAAAAATGTGGAAGAACATATGAGACATTTGTAATTTTATACACAGAAATAATAATGTCAAATTAACTTATACTTCCATTACATGATTTAAGGCAGAAAATTAGGATAGCATTAACCTTCTAAATGTAATAGCAATTTAATTTTTCTTAAAGAATAAGAATGCAAAGCAGTTGACACTGACAGTAACTGAAAAAAGGAACATGATACTTCCAACATAGAGAAACAACCCGTGCATTGCTCTCCTATCCTACGTAATAAACTCCCAAGTCTTCATAACTAACCTACCAAACTCTTAAAAAAGACAAAAAGCATTGAATGGAGAAAAAAGTTCCACTCTGCTCCCCCAAATGATGAGCTCATAACCAACATAAAACCCACTCCAAAATGTTCGGAAAGTTATTTCCTCCAAGCCATTTAGGTTCAAATATATTGCACCCCAAAATCTCAGTGGCCATAAATTTAAAGTTAGCGGCATGTTCCTAAAATAATACACATGTGAAGCATCTATAAAGAAGTTACACTTACAGGTATTGCCAGGGCAACAGGATCCACTGGAACATTGAAGGGCTCAGCAGCATCCATTTTCATAACCTTCTTAATGACCTATGAACACACAAGATGATTCATTAATAAATAAGTAAAAATGTTGCAACCAAATTTCAAGCAGAGATTGTGTTTACATAGGTGTCAACATCTATGAAATACATATATATAAAGGTCGTACCCAATGCATATTGCTCCCATTAGACATCAACAACATACCTCCAGGGCGGCTTTTAATTCCTGCTTTTCGTATTGAGGATCCTGATGAAGCGAGTTTGCTTCTTTTTGATGCGTCCTTCCATTCTGCACCTGTTCTGCATTGCTACCTGGTTCTATACTTGATGCAACAAAACCCCTTGATGATTTTGTCATTATGCTCCTAGCTTTCTTCGAAAGATTAGCAGAAACAGCTACACTCATTTCGGGAGATGAGCTCATACTATCTCCCATTGTTGCATCAATTACTTTTTGTTTTTGTAAATTTGCTTGCTGCCTACTGCGGCCGCCAGTTTGTGGTGTTTCAACCTCCATTCTAGAGTCAAATTCAGCATTGTCAAAATCATCTGGAACCAAGTCATCTTGAGTATTTAGACTGACAATGTTTGGAACTGCCTCTTTTGCACCCACCACAGGAGCCAATTTTGATTTGCGTTTCCCACCTCCACGCTTGCGCTTCATATTCTTATTACTGACAAGCTCGACTAATGAACTTTATTTGGTCGCAGAAACTTCCCAAAGCAGGTTAGCTAACTAGGTTTAGACCCTTGGTCTCTTAACACTAGCAATTATGCAAATTGATATTCAGCATATAGTCTCCATACAGAAAACAACAATTGAAGTTGCGAGGATGCAATTGCAAATGCAAAGCAAAATAAAGTAGAACCACTGCAACCAATAACCACCATACATCCACCATTGGACTCTCTCAAAAATAAAAGAAAGGACATTGAAGGAAGAAGAACTTGTTCCCCATAAAAGGAACTTCAATGTCTAGGTTTTTAACAGACTTCCTCTGGCATAGAAGCTATTTCTCAAGAAAAAAAATGATTAGAAGAAAATAATTTGTGTTTCTGTTACATCTCCATGTGAACAAGCTGATATGGAGTCCAAGTGTTGACAGTTCAAACCACCTTCCGGTGATCATGTTTAAAATGTGTCAACACACTTTTTGGTGACACATAAATGTGATGCACACCGCATCAATATAATCAAAGATCCTTCACAAGATTCAAGGGCCACAGCAAACTTGCTATGCTAGTTGCTTCAGTCACGACAGTGATCATTCTAAATGCTGTTGCAACCTATCAGTGGGTTAGGGTCAATTTGGAGAATCAAATTTGTCGATACAGTTTTTCTTACCAACATAAAAAAAGCACATGATATCAAGGAAAAACATCCCATATTTCCAACTTTGATAAGGAAACAAAAATAAAAATAAACCCATTACAGAACCCAATTGCTACTGTGGGTATAGGCAAACCAACCACTTAAGAACAATCAAAATTTTAGTTTTTGGTATGCATTTCATAATGCATGGTATGTTTTGGTCTAAAAAAATTTACAACCATACAAACTAAACCGACCAAAATAGTAGATTTAAATATTTTTATATTTTAATTTTTTGAGCTTTAGAAGATAAGTGACTAATAATACACGTTTTGGGACGGAGGCATTTATAGAACAAATTTCACCATTTTTCTTCATTTATTCCCGATTTCGGATTCTACAAGCCTTTATAATACCCTTTAAAACCAATCCCTCTTTTACCCCAAACCGACAAAACAACCTGTAGCATGCAGTCTATTTTGGTTTCTCAAACAACAAAACAGTTCGGCGCTAAACTTTCCCTCAACCCTGACCGGACCAAACCAAACCAAACCACTTAAACCCCTAACTGTGGGTTTAAACACATATCTCTCTTAGGCACAAATCTAAGCGCACATCACTGACATGCAAAAACCCTAGAATCCACTAAAACAATTCAACAATGCAAAACACACACACATACATACATACAAATTACGATTTGCATTCAACATATATGAGTGAAAAGAGACCTAATTGAGTGTAGTAACATCTAATCGAAGTGATTGTGTGATCATGTAACATCGAAATAATAGACAACAGAACAAGCTAAACAATTGAAACCCTAGCTTTATACCTCTCTCTGTTCAGTGCTTTACACAGGTTTCCAAGCGAAACCCCCAAAACGATCGACTCGAATGAGTGAGAGATTCATTATTTTAGAGAGAGAGAGAGAGTGTGTGTGTTGTGGCTGTGGTAAAAGGGAAAGAAACAAAGCAGTGGCGTTTTGTGAAAGTGGTGAAATTGGGCAGCGAATGACCAAACGCCAAAAAAGACACCCAAAAAAATAAAATAAAAAATTTGATATTAAAATTTTATAAGATAAAGAATATATAACATTTTTATAGAAAAATTTCATCTGACTCAGAGAAATTTTGACCCTCAACACAAAGAAATTTTGAAATTTCTCTGATATGATTACAGAGAAATTTTATCAAAGGACCTTAGCTAATAAAAAAAATATATCTTGGACCTCTCTTACTACACAAAATTGGAGAAGGATGCTTAACTAATTTTTTCAAAATAAAAATAATTCAATATCAAAAAACTCAAAAATAAATTTATTATAATCTTTATTTATAGAGGAACAAGTAAACTTATATCAAGTGAGAGTTTCAAATGGGATTTAAAAAAATAATTATTATTTTGAGTTGTTCTTGTTTAATCTTAATTTTTCAAGCAAATTTTTTTTTCTTTTTTCTTTTTTTATGGAACTATAATTATTGGTTTTGAATTTGAATCAATTTCTTATTCGCTGGGGATTTTTTTTTTTTTTTTTTTTTAAACTAGTTGGGGGTTGTTTTTTTTTGTATAAACAAGTTGGTGGATGTTTAAGAGCATCCTAAGAGATACCCTATTATCAATTTTTAGTTATTTTAGAAGGTGAAAACTCTAAAAATATCCCCAACAAACTTCCTAAAAAGTTCTCTAGTTTAACAAATGACTCCCCATGTATGTGGACTCACTGTTCATTCCCTATATTAATTTTTCTTTCCTCCTTTTTCTCTTACTCTCTCTAATCTAATTGTCATACCAACTTTCTAAAAAATAAGTTTAATTGAAAAAGAATAATAAAAGAATAGAGTAAGGAGTATTGTTGGGGAAAGTAATTGAAAAAGTGATCACTTAAAATAGAATGCACAATTTAAAGAACATATAGATTGTTGGCGATGCTCCAAGGTTTCATTTGGCAAAAAAAAAATATTAAAAAATGAAGAAAAAAAATCTTAGTTCATTTGATAAATTTATTCCTTGTTAAAAAAATTCATTTTAGTCATTCTTAAAAAATATTTTTTTAAAAAAAAAAACTATGAATATGTCAAACAAACCTCTTCTTTTGATATTATTTTTTTGTAAGTTTGTTTTTAGTCAATAAACTTTTTTTTTTTTTTGATAACTCTTAAAAGAAACATAAAATACGTGTAATAAATTCAGATACTACTAATGTATTGATACATAAAGTTGGGACTCAAATGTAGTTATTTTGTTGATACACTTGAGCATCGAGGTTTAAATATCACCAAATGCTAATAATGTATCACTAATGTGAGTATCGAGTTCTAATGTTCATTTGAATATATTGTTAGAAATGGTTTAGAAATTTTAGATTAATAACAGAATTTTTTTTAAAGTTTGGTCTATTTTTTAGGTGGGTCCCGTGCGTCGATTTTCGCGAGTCAAAGTGATAACGCGTTCTATGTCGCGTTGTGATTCACGTGGTATATTTAGTTGCTCAAAACTATTACCTAGTGAATGGAAAATTGAAACTAAAGCATGCTCCATGGAAATGGAGTTTTAGTGGAAAATTCTTAAAAGTTTGAATAAGGCTTGTCTCACATTGATTTAGTGGAAAGTTTTGAATGGATTTATAAGGCATGGGGTTGGAACTTGGGGTGTGCCCCAAGGGGTACCCAAGTGTTTCAGAGAGGAAGGTTATGGGCAAAATAGGCTAGACCCATTGGACTCAAAAATCACCACGCGCGAGCCGCCGTCCGATCGAGCGCGAGTGCGTGGTATGAGGTTAGGTTGGGCTTGTTCGACCCAATACCTTTCTTTTTGGGTCAAAAACATTTGAATTGAATTTTATTTTTTGAAAAAAAAAATCCACAATTCAAATTAATTCCAAAAATAAACTGATCCGGTTTTACTGTACACCCAAACAGAGATCTTCCCATTTTTTATCTGTTTGAATTTTTGAACAGATTCAAATATGTTTAAATTCAAAACCAATCATATATACCTTTTCAAACAGGTTTGCACATGTTTAATTCAAAACATGCAGTCACCACTACATCTATAAATAGGACAACCCTCATTTAATGTTTACACATTCAGAAATTTCGTACTTCACCTCTGCAAATTGATTCTTCATTTTGCTGCATTTAATTTTTCTAAGAAAAAGTATAAACACTTAGTGTGTTCGTTAGGCAAACAATTTGTAGCGCTGCTATTGTTTGTAGTTGATCATTTCATCCTGGGAGATAGACATCCATATTCTGAAAGTACCGAGGAGAGGACGAATCTGTCTTAAGAACACAGTGTCAAACACTGGACTTGATCAGATATTTATTAGAAGAAATTAATCAAGTAAGTTGTTTAATTTATTATTCTGTTTTATTTGTTTATTAAATCATATTTTAATTTTGTTTTTGTAACAAAATAAAATCTGTTTTTATTTATTTATTTATTTATTTCTAGTTTGATTTTTGTAATCAAACAAATTCTCTCATTTCCTTTATTTCTTTATTTTCTTGTTGTTGTCTAGTATATAACAGAATTTAATCTATTTAAATACAGTAAAAATTGTCCTACATATATGTGGATTTAAATAAAGAGATTTTACATTAATCATTTAAGAACAGTAGTTCAAATGTAGATATGATGGTCCATTTATATAAATTGTAAGATTAAATTAAATAATTTTATCATGATGAATTTGAAAGAAAGAAAAAACTAAGGTTGTGTTTGGTAGATTTTTAGAATTATTATTTGAGAATAGAGTTGTATTTTGAGTTTGTAAGTTTTGAAATTATGATTTGGGTGTGAAAAATTTGTTTGGTTATAAATTTTAAAAATAATTTGAATTGAGTGATGTGACATATGATATTAAAAAGTTGATATTTTGAAAAGTGTTTTGAAAAATGGGTATAAAATTAATTTTCTAAAACTGTAATCAAATAATACACTCAAACTAAGGGATAGAATTAAATTTCAAAAACCCAACCAAACTAGCCTAAATATTTGATATCATGTCTCTTCTTATCTATAAGGATCTTACTAGAATATAAATATCTCATCTTCTTTCATTGTTTTTCTATCCATTTAGGCTAAGTTTAGCATGTGGCCAAAAATTCACCAAAAGTTAAAAATTATGGCTGCATAACTCTCAATTCTAATTTTCCCTTACACACTAATTTATACAATTTTTTAATACATATTTTTTCATAAAAAGTCAAAAAGTTAACCCAAACAACCATATTTTTTTCTTCAACTTTTTAGTCCGAAAAGTCAAAAAATACACTTATTTAGGACATCCCAAACAACCCCTTAATTTCAAATCTTTTGATTTGAAATTCATATATATCCAATTGGACCCTTAATGTATTGATGTATAAAGTTTTAAAAATAACTTTACATACACTAACAATCTTACTAAAAATACAAGAGGCAAATATGATTGGTTGTCAAAAAAATAATAACATTTAACCCTCCAATGATACTTTGACATATGTTTTTAGTAAGATTTTAAGTAAGTATAGCAGTGTTCAAATTTTAAATCATCACCAAATGTTATATTTAGATTTTACAATTATCAAGAAAATTAAATTTAAATTGAAACTAATTTAGTTATAGATATTAATTTTATATGTAATTAAACAAATGTTTTTTCTTCTAATTTTTCTAACACAACCAACAAATTTAAACAAAAAATCTATAATTTCATTTTTCCCCCTATTTTTTATTTCCGTTTTACACCACTTCAATGACACAAACATAGTGAACATTGCTAGATGAAGAGAACATCTTGATTATAAAAGGAACAACTGTAAACCATATGAGAGGGGAATTTAGCGGGGAAGATAGAGGGTGACTAAAAGATGAACTTCAGAGGAGTTTGTCATAATTTGAGCTCGACTTCTCTAATAAACCACATTTATTTTAATTTTTCCACCAACTCTTGTTGCTAGCCCCTCATTCACACTCTTAGGCCTCGTTTGGCAAGAGGCTATTTCAGTCAATTAGTCAAAAAGTTACTAAGGCCTCGTTTGGGAACAGGCTAATTTAGTAACTTTTTGGCTATTTGGCTAAAAAGGTAGGTAAAAAAAACTTGTATGTTTGGGATGACTTTTTGGCTAATTACGAAAAGATGTGCAAAAAGTAGAGAGAAAAGAGAATCTTTGACTTTTTGGTATGGGTTGTTGGCTTTTTGGCTAATTTAGTAACTTTTTGGCTAATTGACTAAAATAGTCTCTTGCCAAACGAGGCCTAAATTAGCCAAAAAGCCAACAACCCATACCAAAAAGTCAAAGATTCTCTTTTCTCTCTACTTTTTGCACATCTTTTCGTAATTAGCCAAAAAGTTATCCCAAACATACAAGTTTTTTTTACCTACCTTTTTAGCCAAATAGCCAAAAAATTACTAAATTAGCCTGTTCTCAAACGAGGCCTTAATCTCTTCCTGCACCTTTATTGTCCCTACCCTACCCACCCAGACCATTATTGTTATAATGTTATTGCTATTGTTATAATTTGATAATGAATAGTCTTATTTTACCAAATTATAGCAACGGTACTCTAATGGTCATTTGTTATTTTTGATAAATCTCAACCAACTTTCCCTCCAAGTTTGTAGGTGTTGTTTGGATATATATTTTTTTGTGATTTTATTTTTATTTATTTTTTGTCTTTTGTGACATTTTTTTACCTGTTTGTTAAAAAAATTATATATTTATATTATTCCCAACTAGACAAATATAAAAAATAAAAAAAATGAAAAATTGGAAAAAAAAAAATTGTTTGATTAATTCATTCCACCAAAAAACATATCATCACATATTTAATAAATTTTTTTAACTACACGTAAAAAATAAACAATCATCAATTACCCACTAACAACCAACCACCAACAACCATCCATTATTCATCTACCCACCCAACAATCACCCATCATTCACCCACCCACATTTTCTCTATAAATATAACACAAAGTTTTCTACAATTTTTATATTCACTTATCCATCATTTTCATATCTTCTAAACTTTTTGTACCCACCCAGCAGATTTTCTACAATTTTCATATTCACCCACTCACCTATCCACCTACAATGAACAATTTGACTACAGCCATATTCAATGGAGATTTTGATGAATCTTCATCATTTGATGATGATATCATCATGATGCAACTATTCGCAGCGCAACAATAAAGAATACAAACATTAAGCCTAAACCAACCAACCATACGTGTTGGTTTCAGAAGTGGTCGTCGATACATTAATCGTGAAAGGGTCAAAGGCGATGAACAAATTTATAAAGATTATTTTGCAGATAATCCTGTCTATCCAGAAGAATACTTCCGAATACGTTTTCGAACAAGACGGTCATTGTTTGTTAGTATCTTACATGATATTCAACAAGTGAATGAGTACTTCATTCAAACTCGTGATGCCACTGGTGCTCCTGGATTATCCAGTGTACAGAAGATGACTGCAGCACTTCGGATCCTGCAGTACGGCATACCTGCTGATGCTGTAGACGAGCACATTAGAATCGGTGAAAGTACTGCAATTGCCACCTTGAATTTTTTTACCAGATCAATTGTTGCTACGTATAAAGCCGTTTACTTAAGATCTCCAAATGAAACAGATGTCGCCAGATTATTGCAAGAGGGAGAGCAACGCGGGTTTCCTTAAATGTTAGGAAGTTTGGATTGTATGCATTGGCGTTGGGATAAATGTCCAACTACCCAAGCCGGTGCTTACACTGGACACTACCACAAACCAACAATTGTACTCGAGGCAGTTGCCTCCTATGGCTTGTGGATTTGACATGCTTTTTTTGGCATGCCTGGCTCTCTAAGTGATATTACTGTTCTTGATAGGTCGCCTTTATTTGCTGAATTAACTAGAGGACGTGCCCCTACTGCCAATTACACCATCAATAATCACGCGTACACCATGGGGTATTATCTTGCAGATGGTATCTATCCTCGTTGGGCAACGATTATGAAAACAATATCTCAACCTCAAGGCGCAAAGAGACAACTAGTTGCAAGGATGCAAGAGGCATGTCGGAAAGATATCGAAAGGGCATTTGGGGTGCTCCAAGCACGATTTAATATTGTCAGAGTTCCAGCTAGAGGTTGGAGTGATGAGTATATGTACTACATCATGAAGACGTGCATTATTTTGCACAATATGATCATTGAAGACGAGCGTGATATTCTAGAAAATGAACGCAATGCAGCACAACTTCAGATTGATACCAGTAATACCCGTTGTCAAGTGTCACGCGATCCGAATGAGGAGTATGCTCAATTTATGTTAAACAGTCAGAGGATTAGATCTACTGAAGCCCATAGTGCAATTCGTAATGATCTAATTGAACACTTGTGGTCCCGAGCTGGAGAGTAGGATTAAGTTTGTATTTTATCTTTTTAATGACAGTTAATGTCATTTAATGTCAGTTAATGTGTTTTTATTATAATAAAATTATCTTCATTTAATGTCAGTTAATATATTTTATCTTTTTATTGCCTTCATTTGAAAAAATATATTTATTTTTTTGCATTATACTTTATTGAAAAAATTAAATTATAATAAATTACTCAACATTATACATTGAAAAAATAATATTACATTATTTTGTAGAAAATACTAAAAAATAAAAAATAAAAACATGAAATTTCATTACAAATTAAAAATTACATTTCAAATAAAGACTAACAATTACATCAAAAATTAAATGACATTGCTAAATTTAAAAATACATTATCCCGTAATTATTCATCAGGAGGCATGGGGAAATTGTAATTTGGACTGTTGACATTTGAGGACCACTTGGCGAAAATCTCATTTTTTCGCATTGTGTAATATGCTTTTGTCTGAGGGTCCAAAAGAGAAATGTCCGTAGTCATTGTCTCATGTTCTTCTTTTCTTATCTTAAGTTCTTTCATTTCCTACAGTGCTTGAATCATTTTTTCTTCTCTTTCATCTTTTTTCTTTTCCTTCTCAGTAAGGTGTTGGTTAAATGTCTCCAATTATATACTCATTTTTTGGACTTCAGCTTCAACCATTTGATTTATCTGAAATAATTCTTTTAAAGCTTTCCTACCCATAGGCCTTTTACCCCTTGCAGAGACACTACCCTCACCGACAGTTGGATTGTTACCAACACTTGAACTGGTGTCATCTTCAAGAGAAATGCAGTTATCCATAGGGGAATTGGGGGCTGAATCAGGGGAAAACGGTGTATGTATCTTTGACTTCACTGTGTTCGTAAAAATTATATCTTGCCACCTGATATTGTTTTGCAAGATTGACCAACAATGTTCAAAAGCAAAATGTTTCTTTTCATCTTGATGATATAAAAGTTTTGCTTGAAACATCTGTATCAATAAAATATTAAATTAAGTAATTATTTAATTTTTATATGAGACGAAATAAAATAAAATAAAAAACTAATGTAATAAATGCAGATGAAATCTTATTAGATCAACTTGAGGCATCCCAGTTGGGTGTAGATTTTCGACTCGCGCTAAACATCCACGAAATTTGTTAAAACATTTCATGATTGTACCCCATCGAGATTGGATAGAAACTTGTGTTCTTGACTGATCATTCTAATGGGAGCAATAATTTTCATAAATTCTCTCCAAAAAGTAAGTATAAGATTATGAATTGCCAACAATTGAGTCTTCAGAAATGTGACACCAAGCTTTACAAAGTGCCATATCTTCAGTAATGGTGAATGATTTTCCTCTTTTTTATTTTTGACGAACCTTCCATACCGATTGTGTAAAGAAAATATAAATAAAAATGTAATTTAGAAAGTTTGTTGTGAAATCAAATTGAGTAAAAAGAGAGGAGAAAAGTTTTGTATTTATAGGGGGAAAAAAAAAAGAGCCATTTTTTTATAGCCGTTTTAACATAAAAATATGACCGTTTATATCCGTTGTGGATATGTTTCACTTATGTTTTTATTTAACTTTTACTTTTTTTTAATGAATAAAGTAGCACACTTGGATCTCAGCCGTTGGATTGTTATTAATTAACGGCTGAGATCAATCATCTGTCTGTGTGTCTCTATCATCTCATCTCTGTGTCTCTACCCATTAAACAAAATAGCACACTTTGCTCCGTCTATGTCTCAATCCTCTCATCTCTTTTCATCACTCTCTTCTATCACTGTTGCCTCTATCTCCTTCACTCGCACCGTCTTCATTTCTCTCTCCTTGGTTCTCACCTTCTCTCTCCCCTTGTTTCTCAGATCAGTGGAGATCAGAGAGAGAGAGAGAGAGCTTCGAATCAACTTCATCACTCTCTTCAGATCAGTGAAGATAAGAGAGAGAGCTTCGGATAAACTTCATTTTTGTCTTCGGATCTTTGAGATTCGGATGAACTTCATCTTCAGATCAATGATTTTCAGATCGATAAGACTTTCTCTCATCTTCATCTTCAGATCGATGAAACTCTCTCATCTTCAGCTTCAGATCAATCTTCTCTTATCCAACCCCATATTTTCTCATTCGAAACTAGCTCTCTCTCTCTCTCTCTCTCTCTCTCTCTCTCTCTCTCTCTCTCTCTCTCCTTCTCCAGAACCACCACCAGATCATCCATCTATCCCTATCCCTCAAAGCCCTAAAACCCCCTCATCCACCTATCCTTCGAAGCCATAGCCCCCATCTTCAACCTCTTCTCCAACCTCAATGGTCACAGTACTTCAATTTGGCTTTCTGAAGAAAATGAATATTGAAGAAATTAGTGTAAATTTGGCTTTCAAATCCAGGTATTTTTTTTCCAAAACTCATAATGGATTATTGGATAAATTAATTTGAGATTATTTATGTTGGTATTCCTGTTGATATTGTTGAAATTTTTTAAATCTGTTGGTATTTCTGAAATCTGTTGATTTGCTGATATTGTTGAAATTAATTTGGTATTGTTGTTGGTATTTTTGAAATCTGTTGATATTCTTGTTCCTATGGCTGAAATTTTTGAAGATGAATTTGGTATTGCTAAAATTTAGTATTGAAGATACTCAATACATCAATACTAGTTCCCTGATTATTGAAGACATGATTGGTTGTAGTGTGATGAGAGACTAGTATCTGTCTGTTTTTGTGTCTGGGACTTGTTTCTTGTTTTGCATTAGTTTCCAATGAATCAAAAAAAAAAGAAATTTAGTATTGAAGATGATTAATTTGGTATTTGCAGAAATTCAAACATTCTGGAATTCATTCTGATTAATTTGTGAAGATTTTTGTTTTAAACGACATGGTGAATTTCATTTCTTTTATAAAAAAACTTTAAGCATTCTGGAAAATCCCAACTGAAAGGGAAGGAGGGAATGAAGGAAATAGTTTCATTTTGGGTGACTTGGCAGATTTGGCAGCTGCCAAATTTGGCACATGATTTGGCAGTTGTCAAATTTGGCAACTGTTATAGCATGCCATTGGAGAAGCCAAGATTGCCCAAGCTGCTATATTATGGTTTTGACAACTGATTTAGCCATCCATTGGAGATGCTCTAAAGAGGATTGTACAAGATGAGGGTAGTAAGGTACTCGATTTAAATATAATTTTACAAATTGAAACGAGTTGAACCCAACTACACAATGGCGGTGTTTGGGAACTTGATTTTTTGGTTTTTTTTTTTATATTTTTTTTCACTAAAAGACAAATTGGTTACAAAATCAAAAAAAAAAAAATTCAAACAAAATATCACATCAAGTCCCATAATCATTTCACTTTTTCTCTCACAAACATCACATCTAACCACAAAAAACCTAACTATCTTTCCAAACACAAAAAAAAAATTTCTCCAATAATATCCTACAACTAAAAAAACTTACAAAAAAACCTACTTCCCAAACACCCACAATTTATTTGGAAGTTGTTTGGTTTTTGAGTTGGGCTAAATAATTACAAAAGGACAAAAGAAAGTCAAAAAATTACAAAAAAGAAAGTCAAAAAATTACAAAAAATCAAAAATCACAAAAGGACAAAAAAAAATTCCACTCTTCCAAAATTAAAAAGTCAACAAAAACAATCAAGAATACTAAACGAACAAAAAAATCTCAAACTAAAAAAGTCGAAAAAGTCAAAAAGCCAACTAAAAAAGTTATGACCAAACGAAAGCTTAGTCCTAACCTAACATAGTTTAAATAATTATATTATTAGAATACATCATTGTTTATTGCATAATTTTTTTCTTAAAATAACCAGACAATAAGTCCATTTTTTTTACAAGTTCACTTATTAAAACCTACACGTAAGTATCCCTAAGATTTACTTTATATAAATAAAACAATTTAGTTTTTTCTTCTTTTTTTTTTCTGATTTGGAATTATAAAATAAAAGTTAAATGGAAGTTAGCCAATAGGAATTTTCTTAACAGTTTAAAATTAAGAAAATTCAATAATTTTAGAATAAGGGTTTGGACCTTCTAAAAGGTTTATCCCTTAAAACTTCATTTATAAGATTCATTTTATATAAGTGAAACAACTCGCTTTTTCGTTATTTTCCTGATATAGAATTGTAACACTTTATATAAATGAAACAACTCACTTTTTCTTTCTTTTCTTGATGTGGGATTGTAATTATTTTTAAGTTAAATATTATAAGAGTTTTAAAATCTCATAAAAAATTATTTTTAAAATCAAAACTATATGAGGTTGTAAAATAAAAGTTAAATGAAAGTTAGTCAATGGGGATTTTCTTAATTGTTTAAAATTAAGAAAATCAAAAAAATGAGTATGAGATATTGATCATGTAGCGATCTCGATTTTGACCCGTCTCTTGTGATGTTCCAGACCCGGGTTTGTATTGTTTGAATGGTGGTTCATGTCGTGTTTCCATTGTCTTCCCCTCATTGTTGGTTATTGGGTTGTAGTTATGCGTTTGGAAAATGTTGGTTGCTTGTTTTTTCAAACTTTTAGTTGCCCAGAATTTGCCTCTTCCGCTCGAGCGGGGCTTTCTACGCTCGAGCGGGCTTCTGAAATTTTGCTTTACGCTCAAGCTGAAATTCGGGCGCTCGAGCGGGGTCTCTGTCTGCAAAAGTACCGGTGAAGCGTATTTTACGCTCGAGCGCAGGGTTTCACGCTCAAGCGGGAGTTTGTGTCTGACGCTCGAGCGGGCTTTCCACGCTCGAGCGGACCACGTTTTATCAGCTCGAGAAAGTGATATTTCATATCACTTTTTGCAATCCTCTCTGTTTCTCTAAAACTCTCCAAGATCCAGATCTAGAGCTTCTCTATCTAGGAATCATATTCTCTCTTTGATTTCTCCAAATCCATTGGGATTTTGGCTATAGTTTCTTCATCAAAGTTGTATAACTTCTCAAGAGTTTCATTGTGTGCGGTGGAGATCAAGTTTCAACACTGTAAATTTTAGGGGTTTCAGCTATTTTCTTCT